ATAGTCGCCCCGCGCTTATTCATTCAAAATTGTTTGAATTTGACAATAATTGTTTAAACATCAGAATCGAAATTTCATAATTATACTTTAGAAATTACTTGCTGTGTAATGAATTGTGCCAATTCTGAAAAAAATGGAAATCATTTATTCAATTTTGCAAAACAAATATCAACCATTCGCTTATGGAAGGAAGATATGAAACGGCATGGGTGGAAATTCAATTTGATGACGAGCAAAATTTCTGAGGTACTCATTAAAATTCACTTCTTATAACAGCATCTAATTTGAATGAAACTGTATTTTAGGCCCATTTTCAAACGACAGAAGATTTCAAAATATGTTTGAGAGAATCTGCTGTTCCATCAATTTACAAAGCAGACGATTTCAAGAACAAAATTCCATTATTATTATCACACAAAATACAAACAAAATAATCATGGAAAAAGAGAAAATTGATCGCAAAATTACATAATGAAATTGAAAATTTGAAAATGAAACTAAGAAAAGCAAGCAAACTACAACGTGATATATTATTGAATGGCGTTTTTATTACCGACCAAATTCAAAATCTACCAGTGAAAAGTGAATAGTAATCCATTTATCAAGAGAATTATTATAAGGGCCTTTATTACGCTGGAGGTTATCGTTTTGGAGATATTAAAATTTACAATTTTCTATACCTATCGATCCATGTTAGGTACTTTAAGCTCCTAGGGCGCTAAGTGAAGTTGCTGAGAACTTTACAAAACCAAGTATGTAGTAGGTCTCGTCAAAAGAAACTACTTTTTTCCTATAAAATGTTTATCGAAAAATGATTTGTTATCTGCAATTCAACACCTTGTATCTCCGAAATGAAGCATTTTCGGACACAAGCTTATATAGACTTCTTTATTTCTTAAAATTGTCTCAGTAATACTTCACTTGAACGTACTTATGTTACTTCCTGTATATTGAGAATACCTACCCTCAATTTAATATTGATATCTTCATGCTTTGTACTTATCATACTGGCGTACAGTTTCACATACAAATGCATACAATAAGGAATTATAGCTATAAGTTCAACCATATGTGTATATTTTCTAATATTGTAATGTTATTATATGCATTCTTCTCATTTATATAACAGTTGTTCTGCTAGAAGTGTATCACTATAAATTGAAGTGGGTGTATGTACCCTATTTCCATTGTCCATCTACGGCTATGATTGATTTGACAGAAAATATAACCTCTAAAATCGTATCTGACAATCAGGCGCTACTAGGGAAATTGAGAAGACAAAGAGCAGAATATATGTCTTATTCTTTTATTGGCTCAAACCATTGTATTATAGAAAATAGAAAAGGACAAAAGTTCAGCTTTGTCCGAACTCTTATCAAACTAATACCATCCAGTGACTCTAGGGATTATATCTCTCACAAACAGGTCATATGACTTAACTCGAGTAAAACTCATTTTGGATATCATATCCTCATCAGTAACCTGAAGTCCAGTTATTCTTTCAGCCATTCTTCATGATATACACAATTTTCATCCCCCTATAATATAACTAGAACTATAACGAACAGAAATCTGAGGATTATAATTTGTTGACATTACCACTGTCATCGGGCATTGGTTTTTGGATGTATGATAAATTGATATCATCATACAGGACGTGGAAAGAAATTCAGAATTGAGAAAACCTAATGACGAATCTGCGATTGAGGTCTATAAAAATAACAAGTTTCCATCGTTCAAGTTTGAACCCCTCGATTGGGTGACATTATTGAAAAGGAATATGATTAGGTTTCTTCAATTCAGAATTTCTTTCCACGTCCTGTATGATGAATATCAATTTTTCATACATCCAAAAACAAAAATTGTGGACAACTTTTAAGAATAATGGATGGTTTCCATGACAAACTAACTCCATATCGCACACACTTATTGCCCCGCCCATCTTCGGTATGGGCACATAAAAATTTGTAATTATGGCCGCAGGATATGAAAGCGGACGAAAACGAATCTTCTTACTCAAGTGAAGATGCAAACAAGATTTTTCATGAATTCATTACCTATGTTATATACCCATTGTGTGACTGCTTCAAGAATTGACGGAATAATTAGGAAGTGTCGTTTTCAACACAGAGTGAGCACTATAATTTATGAAGATATTTATTGAATATTTCGAAAACTGTAGGCGACTGAATTTAAGATCGCAGCGCCGAAGTGGCCGGTTGTAGAACTATATGAAAGTACATTGTTTTGAAATGGTTAATTTCCTTGTTTGTATCACTTCGATTTTTGCTAGTTATTTGATGAAAAAAAAAATCGTAATTTTTGACTGTTTATTCGTGTTCTCTTGTGATTTGAGTTGAGCTTTTCAGTAGATATTTGTTTCGTTCAATAAAGTATTCTTCACTACTTTAAATATTTACATGAGATTGGCAAATTGAAAATACCCCAATTTGAGGTTACGTTAGTTTGCATTTCGTTCCCATTCAGTAGTAAAATGAATATTGGTAATAAAAAGGAATTAACATGATGTTGAATTTCACAGAGTAGGTATGTGAGATGTAAACACAGTCTTCCCAGTTATGGCATATATAGGCGTGATACCATATGAACCAGAGACAATCAATTCCCGAAACAACAGGGTAACTTTCAAAATGAAAGAAGATTGAGATATCTCAAGATATTTGAAAGTTTCCACCACAACACCAAATACACACTCTTCAGAAGAATCGTATTTTTCAGAGCCTCCGCATACCGCAGACATCGTCCACCAATATTCTAATGCAGATATCGTTCTATCTCGAAAAAATCATTTTCTTTTGTCCTAAAAACTTGTTCCACTATCGGTACCGAGTTTATTACATTTTCATACCCATCCTGACATCTAGGATTAACGACCGTGAAGGTCACAAAGACTATTCCAATATACAGGGTGGTCCGTTTTTTAATACGGAAAATTTAACAGCGTATAGTACTCGTTGAAATAATGAATAAACTTCCTATGAACATATACTCTTAAACGCTTCGTTTTCGAGATATAGGGTGTTCAAGTTTCTTTAAAAAATCGATTATTTATTGATTTCTCAGAAATGCTATAACCGATTGTGATGAAATTCACATCTATTGTGGAAATATCGATGAGATTACTTTCAGACCTATTATACAGTTCATAAATGAGTTACATATTTTCAGGGGCATGCATTTCAAAATACAATTTTTTTGCCCTCTAAGATTTCTTATCTAATAGCTTCGTTTCAGAAGGAAAAATAAAAACCAAACCTATGCATGTCTCTGAACCCAATGAAAGAAACATTGTAATGCATTAAATCTAGTTAGCATTGGCCGTTTACCAAACCAATCATGATATCCTGCTATTTGTCTTCAATGTTGCCGAGCTTGTACATTTTTACTAGTCAGTAAATAAAATTATTACACTTTTTGATAAGAACACGGAATAACTTCAGTTTGTTATTTCTTTGACAGAACTTTCAGAGTGACAGTACATATGAACAGTGAACAGTGAACAACTGAGCATAGCCTACTTCTTTAATTGATATCAAGTAGTATTATTTAACTGAAAAATATTATAAAATCTTACAAGCGAGCTTTTTCCATTGAAACTTGAAAAATAAATGAAAAATAATTACCCGAAATATTATAATGTAATTATTACCTTCGCCACCCCAGATTCAGCCGCCACTGAATGGTTTTTATGAATAATTTTTATTCAATCCAATAAAGCTCAAAAAGGTCAGTATCTGTGAAAAAGTTCGTTAATTTATCTACCGTTTCTAACTTTTGATTGAAAAAATATATTCAGAAGCGTATTTTTGACTCCCAATATCGCAAAAACGAAGCGTTTAAAAGTATATGTTCATAGGAAGTTTTTTTAATATTTCAACGAGTACTATACGCTGTTGAATTTTCCGTATCGAAAAACGGACCACCCTGTATATCGAATTCAAAGAGTCTCTATCAACCATTTTCATAGCACACTTACACAGAGAAAACTGATATTGTTGTAACAGGCGAATTAGACTGTTACAATTTTCCTTTCGTGCGCTCCAAGAGATAAAGAAACATTGGATCAAGAAAAGGTTGCACAGCATGGGGATCTCGGAAACGGTAGAAGATACGAAATATATGTAAAATGGAAAAGAAGTTGCGCACTTAGTTTTTTAGCTTATGCAAACTAGGAAAAGATTATTGAACATAGCCTCAGGAAGAGTTAGCCGCAGACACGTGTTTCGCGGGCTTTCGGCCCTCATCAGTACGGTGGAAGAAGGGCAAAAAATAGGCAACACTTGGTGGAAGACAAAACAACAAATCGACGGAGTCAACAAACAAAAGCCAGCCGCACAATTGTCACCATGGAGGCAGCTATAGCTAGCTACCTGCGTGAGATCCGAGTCCAGGAATAGAATTTAGATGGAAGGAATATTGAGGGAACTGTTTTATGCTAACTAGGAAGAGAGTATTGGTCATAGCCCTCAAAGAGATATCCGCAGACACGTGTTTCGGGGTTTCGGCCCCCATCAGTAAGGTGAAATAAGTGCAATGGATAGACAACACTTGGTGGAATGCCAAGAATATAAGACAGCGTGTACATATACAGCCATATAAGTACAGCCATTCTTTTTCTATCATTCAATTTCTAAACCTCTATTTCTGTGGAAGAATAAAGGTGCAGAATCGATTGGTTCGAAAATAAGATTTTTTGAGGTATTTCAATAGTTTTTTCCAAATTGATCCTCTCCCAAAGTATGTTGTTCCTCTCCCAATAAGTTATGTATAGTTCAATGTTTATACAGCAGGTCTATTTTTCTTACCTCAACCCATTTTTTTGTGAGAAAATCAAGGTGGAGAATCGATTAGTTTTGAAATTTGATTCATCGAGGTACATTCAATCGATTTTTCCTGTATTGTTCTCCATAATTTTTTGTATCTATCTTTAATCAGTATCGATATAATTATCGCCCATCTCTATCGTAAATAATACACTATTATCTATGGCGACATAATATTTATACGTCTGTATTAATAATAAATGTTATCTACCAATCCACCATTAACCAATTATTTATCACGTCTCATAAAATAATATTATGAACAAAAAGAGTTGTAATAAATATAATTACATATTTAGCTCCTTCTGACTTTTGATTATCGCGAATCGCGAGTCTCGTGTTCTGTGTTCTGACATCTGTGTCAGTGACGTCAGTGTTCTGGGGTAAACTACTTGCAATTTGCAACCTGTTGCATGACCTTTGCCTTTGTCGAAAAAAAATTGGAATTAAATGATGGTTTTATGGAAGAATGCCATTTCCAGGTTGCTTAGACTCAATCGATACTATAATCCAGTTGCAAAATGTTCATCCATGGTACAGGTAAATAGCATTTTACAATACATCTCCACTTTATCAAAACAACTGCTAGGCCAAGGTCAGATGTTTCGTGTTGAGATGCGGGATCTATGCAAAGATCGATCAATTCATTCTAAAATATCAATATTTTAATCACCGGAGGAGGGGGCAATAAATATGTATCTGAACCACCCAACCACCTCATATACCGTGTTTATCGCGCTAAGGTCTATATGGTCATACCTGCGCTGGCGCTATCAAAATAGTTATTTGTTTTACTAGGCAGAAAAGTACAAGATTTCATGCCGGGCCTGGCGTTTCATAGCCTAGGCTAGGAAACCAGCCAAGGCATTACATCTTCTTTTCTGTCATGTGAAACATATAATTTTTTCTCCAAAATCTTTTCATTCATTTTTTTTTTCACCCAAAGTCATTGTCAATTTTGATTACCAATTTGATTCAAATTACTTGGAACGTTGCATAGCAACAAACTTTTTCTTCCTAGGCAGTAAAAGTACACATTTTCTGCCTGTTAAGTGTCATTAAAAATCAACTTTTAATGTCATTTGGAGAATAGTAGATTGTTTTATTAGGATCAAAAGTGGCACTTTGTTTGACAAGCGAATTTTGCATTTGCGAGGCGGAGCGTTTAGCGGAGCCGAGCGAAAGCAAAATTTGCGAGTCGAACAAATAAGTCACTTTTGATCCGAATGAAACATGCTATTTTTTCTGCAACCGAAACAATTAACTCAAATGAATATGTGAAGTAACTACCAATGCCGTGCCATATGTATGCAATGCAACAGATATTGACAAATAATCCGTCTGGTGAGAATATTCAACCTGCCTTAACAGAACGTTTAATCAATTTTCAACGATGTTCGAATTGTAGTTTCAATATAAATACAACCACAGAGTGACATATTTGTGTATCGACCAGGAACAAGACGTGGGAAATGTTAGGTTCGTGAGCATAAATGAACAATAATAATAGCGATTATTTATTCCTCTACACACTACACTGTGTGTGACTTGATAATCAAATGGAGTTAAACAATATCGTTGTTCGAGATAAAAAAACTATTGCCGTGAATATTCAAAAACAAGTTATCCATCCCGAAAATAACGAATGAAATACAGAGCAAGCAAGTATTTGAATCTTGAAGGCTTCCCTGATCAAAACAAAAATACTCAACTGAGATGTTTATGATTCCAATACTCAACTATAATAAGGTGTATTTTATATCTCCAGCAATCTGCCGAAATCGGAAACAAATCAGGTATGCGTCTCAACCCAAATAACCAACCGTAACAATGTTGTTTATTCTTGATGACGTCCAGCACATCCTTTTTAGTTCCTAGGAGCTAAAGTTCAACTTCAGCTCCTAGGAACTAAATTTCAACTTCAGCTCCTAGGATCTAAATATGTTGCCTAGCAACATACCAATTTTTGTAAAAGTAATATAAACGTCAATTTAAGAGCTAGTTCTGGTATCAAAATGGACGACTTTTGTGTCGGTTGCAGAAAAAAAAAATTATAATGCAGCTTTCAGAGGTAGATAGGGCGGGTTGATACCTTTTCAGTATTATTTTGAGATGATCTTTATCAGACTTTTTTTTCCAGTTCGTCATTTTGACCCACTTCAAAAACGTCGAAATGAATTGAAATTTCGCATACTTTTCAAGGACCGATGACAGTAGCATAATTTTATAGTTTTGTTCTATTGATCCTGATCAGGATCTTCAGGATGAGCGATTTTTTTTCTCGAATAAAATGGTCACTTTGTTAATCTGTGAAATGGTGAATGATGTTCCGCCACCAAAATTTCAAATGTTCCGCACCAAAAATTGAAATGTACAGGCTGTCCCATTTTAGATGTCCTTACGGGATATCTTCCATGTTTTTGAAGATAGAGATTTGCGGTTTTAGCCAACGTTGGCGACTTTTTTGTGAAATTCAAGTTACCGCAAACAAAATTTTCATAGCCTGCTTCGTTTTTGAGATACAGGGCGAAATTGGAATAAATGTTGTATTTTGGTACCTCTCTCTGTATCCCAACTATCTTTCAATTTATAGGAAAATTAAAAACAGACACTCATATATTTTTCCACGTGAAATCCAGTGGCGTAGTCAGATTTTCAAAATATGCGATTATTATTTAGATATAACCCAATGGTATGTTTTTTTTAATGGAACACATTATTGATGCTTATCGCTTTCCAAAAATATATAACACTCAAACATAAGCTATGACACAGTGTTTCGTCACACATGCCGCACTGGTTTAAATTTTACCAACATTCATTATTTACCAATATACAGCAATATTTATGACAATAAAAGCTGTGGACCTAATTAGTAGGTAGCTATGAAAAACAAGTGACAGCAGATTGTTTTATAAATATTCTTGTCACCTGTTTACAAATATTTTATCCAATGGCGAATTATAATCCGGGATATCAACACTAAACGAGAATTTAGAAACCAACAACCAACAACCATAATAAATATAGGTAATCTTTGTTTGTATTGATATCCTTGATTATTATTTGCCATTGTATGGGAATTTTGTAAACTTCGACAGGTAGGCAGGTAAAATTTGAACTAGTGTTTGACGAAACACTATGTCAGCAACAGGGTAAATATGAAAATTCATGATATTAAAATGTTAAAAATATTTCCACACTTTTACAAGGCGGATCAATATGAAATATACAAAAAACTGTAAATTATCTAAATTCAAGGCTAATACACAAAATATCGTAAAAGTGTTATATATTTTTGGAAAGCGCAAAGCAACAATATTTTAAATATAAAAAAAGTGTTCCATTCAAAAAAACATAACTTTGGGTGATTTCGAAATTAGAAAACAATATTGTGAAAATCTGACTACGCCACTGAATTCCTCGTGAAAAACTGTATAAGATACAGTTTTTACTTAGATAGAGGAGGGGTCCCAAAATGTAACATTTTCGATTTCGTCCTGTATCTCAAAAACGAAGTGAGCGATGAAAATTTCATTTGCGGTGTTGTGAACCGCAACTCTCTATCTCTGAAAATGAGTGAGCAGATATCCCGTAAGGAAATCGAAAATGAGACAGCCTGTACAGTTTTATTTAAAAAAAGAAGGCTGTGAAAATGCCATAGCCTTCTTTAGAGAGGAAGGCTGTGAAAAAGCGTATTAAGTATATTAGAGAGAGAAACTAACGTCATCAATCTGCGTAAAACGGGCTATCGGGAATGATTGTTTACCAAATGTTGACAGTAAAGTTGTAATAGGCTCTCATCATTGGCTGAGCCAGTTTTACACAACTATATAGAACTAGAATGACGTAACCCCAGCGAGCACAAACATCCCTGGGATGTTATGGGATGTTTAGAAAATGTTGGCTTGAAGATGTTATTTTGAGACGTAATATGCACTGACCAAAGAGGTCTTTGAAGGATATTGAAGTATTGTTTTTGTTCTTCTGTGGCATTTCTTTGTTTGCCTACTGAGAGGTATCCCTGGGATGTTTTGGGATGTTTTAGAAATGTAAGGATGAGGATGTTTTTTTGAGGCGTAATATGCACTTCCCAAAGAGGTATTAGAAGGATATTGAAAGTATTGTTTTTGTTCTTTTGTGCCATGCTTACGTCGCAATACGATGAATTCTGATTTGTTTTCGATTTTGCTCTTCTTGTTCGCAATTGGCATTCGCGTTTGCAGCGTGTCACGCTTACATCACGCTGCTAACGAACAGAAAGGAATTTGGTGAAGTTTATTGTGTTAGAAGACTTATTTAGTTTGTAATAATGACCATCAGATACAAGATGTGTTATTCGGTGCCTCAGTGTAATCAATATATAAAAGTACGAATTTATCAATACACAGCTCCTCCGCAGTTGCAAAATTATGCAATGTGGAGAACATTTCAAAAATTGGGAAACCTATTTCCAATTATATGTCTCTGTGTAGTAAAAGCACTACTCAGAAACCGATTAAGAAGGTTTATATCAAGAAAATATTTTTATGTTCAATCTATTTTTAATGCATTTTTTCATTCAAGGGAAATGGAATCCTAATGCAAAAGTTAATTTTGACAAAAGGCTTCAGAAAAGTACATCGAAAATGTTTTTTTTTACAACGATTCAATGTGCGCAAGACGAAAATGTTCTGTTGTGTCCATGAAAAGGCTTTAAAAAGAACTAGGGAGAAGGTAGTTTTGTGACATATCAAGGACATCTCGATAATTGCCGCCTGCGGTGGACATTGGCTGTTCTATAATAGTTCTATTCATGTGTGAACAGAACATCGCAGTGGAGGTTCAATGTCTCGAAATCTCGTACTTTTAACATCTCTGAGATGTTTTTGTGCTCACTGGGACCTCTCTTCAATTTTTTGAATAAATCACAGATAATCAATCCTTGATTATTCGATCATTTAGCGTGGTACATATCCGTACGCTGAGTGTCATAATGTGAGTAGAAAAAATAATGAAAGTGTTGATGAATGCACAACATAGAATATACTGATTAGGGAGGTGCTTATATTTTCCATGTTGTGTGTATTTATGAAGACACTTCCATTATTTTATTGTCTACAAAAGGAGAAACGTAAAGAATAGTTCAGGTACACATAATTAACTAATATTTTTCAAATGGAATGCTATTTTTTTTCTTTCAACAACAACAAAAACAACAATGAAGTAGAAATCAGTTCCGTATCAATTTGTATTAATGGTCCATGTTCTCGATATACCTAAAGGTCTGATAGGTTTTTTTTTGTTGTGATGACTTTTTTCTCGATATTGAGGAAAATTCATAGCCAGTACCGTGTTTGCATAGTTTGCCATGCAAATAAGAATTGCTATTATTATTCTGATGAATTCATTTTGTATTCATGAAGATATAACAGTATGATGCAAATGTATGGAATAAATTCATTTCAAAACAAGACGACTTTCGAAAAAAAACCAAAAACTAGAGTTCAGAACTTTTTTTTGACGTATTTTTTTAACTAGACGACCCTTCGATGATCAATTCTCAGTAGCAGACCTCTGCAAGATTCAATTAATCACATGATAATCCATTTTAATTTCAATCTTCTTATGCAACATTTTGAATGTTGAATAGACGATCCGTAGACCTTTCAACCAAGGTGTCACATGACCCCTATTTGTATTTGAAAAAATCGTCCATTACGTCTTTACTTCAACACCGGTGACGTAACATCTCTCATATGAATTGAGATGAGGCTTCAGAAATTGAAACTCACGTGTTTTTGGAATTTTTTCAAATGTCGCCCATTTCTGAAATAATGAATTTATTCCATACATTTGCATCATACTGTATATCACGACGTCATATTATGACGTCAACTCGGTCTACTGACGTGAAAAAAGCGTTAGTAAAACGTCATCTGGTTTCCTGAGATAGTACGCTCTGGAGATTTGCGTCCGATTCTACTTTTTTTATTGATAATAATAATAATAATAATAATAAAGTTTATTCACCAAGAAAATAATTACAAAAAAGGGTATATATGATTAAAGTGCGTACAGCAAATAAACAGGGGATACCACAGAAGCTTTAGTTCCAAAGTAACTATCGCTTGTACGTGGCTTCATGTTGTTGTATGTTCCATCAATTTTAGTAGGTGATCATTACATAACTAGTTGAAGATGATTCGTTATGAAATAATTTGAAAATATAAAATATATAGATATAAAATGTGAACATATGAAAATTTAAAAATGTAAAATGTAAAAATGTAAAAATGTAAAATGTAAAATTATAAAAATGTAAAATGTAAAATGTAAAGTGCTAAAAGGGAAAAGTTTAAAAATCTAAAATGTACAAATATAAAATATAAAAGTATCAGAATATAAAAATTCGAGTAACTAATTGAGAGATATTCGCATACGTACATATATAGATGTGTTCAGACTTATACAATTAACACGAGAGAACATGAGTATAAATTATATTACTAATAGAAATAATAAGTAGACCATTCATTGTTTTGATTGAAGAGTATAAAATACCTAACCATATATTAATTTAGTTTTTGATTGACAAAATCGTGTAGTTTGCTCCTTCCAAAAGCCAAAATCCATTTTTTTATTTTTTTCTTGAATTAATTGATGCTCTGTAAGTTCCTTATATCAACAGGTGTTAGACTATAAAGTTTTGGTGCAAGAAAGTCACAGTGACGTTGCCCTATGGTTTTGTCACAACGAGGTACGCTTAACGATATTGTTTTATTTCTTGTGCTGTAGGAGTGTGTAACAGGGTGGGAAGAGATCTTGTTTTTTTTTTATGTTGATTAGTATATTTTGACAGAAAAGTTGCCTACTGTCAAATATTCCCGATTCTTCGTGTAATTTATCATTGGAGAATCTGAGTGGTTTACCGTATATAATTCGTAATATCCATCTCTGAATGACGTTTAAGTTTTCTAAGTGCGTGTCATTTACACCACCCCAGCCCACAATACCGTAAGTTAGATGAGATTGAACCAGTGCGTAGTATAATATTTCTAGGTGTTTCGTATCAAGGTAATCTTTCAGATATTTAAATCTATATATAACATACCTCTTAACTTGTTGACTATATTTCTTATGTTAAGGTCCCACTTGAGGTGTCGGTCAATTACAATACCTAAATATTTAATCGATTCAGCTTCAGGTATTTCTGAATTTGGTCCGATAATCAAAGGACCCATATTTGGTAATCCACTGGAGTATGAGGAAAACGGTAGATATTTTGTTTTTTCCAGGTTGAGAGTTAGTGTATTATATCGAAACCACTTTTCTATAACTCTAAAATCATCCTCCACTTCTGCTTTCAAGGTGTTCCATGATTTCGCCTCATAGAATATAGCAGTATCATCTGCAAAGCTCAAAATTTTGCCCCTGGTTCCTAAAGAAAGTAAACTGTTGATATACAGAGTAAACAACAGTGGACCAAGTACAGTTCCTTGTGGAACACCGTATGTTACATATCTACTATCACTCAACTCCCCATCAATACTTACTTTCTGTTCACGCTCTGTCAAAAAGCTTTTTAATATTCCGTATATATTTCCTCTTATCCCATAATGGTCTAGTTTGTCGAGTAATTTTCTGTGGCACACGGTATCGGAGGCTTTAGAGAGGTCAACGAAAATGCATAGTGATGGTTTACTTTTATCCAGTGAGTTATAAATATTAGATACTAATTGGTAAATTGCGTCATCTGTTGATTTTCCCTCTCTAAATCCATACTGATATTCAGATATCAAGTTAAATTTCGTACAAAAGCTGAGTATCCTGATTTTGAGGATTTTCTCAATTATTTTAGATAAGTTTGATATTAATGAGACTGGTCTATAATTTATCATTTCATCAAATTTACTACCACTTTTGAATAGTGGTTTCACGATTCCAATTTTCAATGATTTTGGAAAATAACCTTTTTCGAAACAACAGTTTATTAAATGGGTTAAGGGGGCAGTTATCTGTTTTGATATGTTTTTCAAGGTTTCAGCGCGTATATTGTCGTGACCAGGAGCCTTTTTTGGTTTCAGTTGCATTATGATGTCGTGGACTTCTCTGGTATCGGTGGGATAAAGATACATTGAATTTTTCAATCTTGTGTCATGTTCTATATAGTCATCCGGAACTTTTATTTTACTTGCATATGTTTTACCCAGAGTACTATAATATTCATTGAAACTGTCAGAGATGTGCTTTTTGGAAAATAGTGGTGTACCGTCAGTTGATATAATTTTTCTATTTTTGTTTCTGGTTTGGATCGATTGCAGATATCATTAACGCATTCCCAGAGAGCCTTGGATTGGTTCATGTTATTTTTGATTAATTTTTGTGTATAAGTTCTTTTAGAATTTTTTATTATCTTATCTAGTTTATTTTTGTAAGTATGGTACTGTGTTTTCAAAGTTTGGTTGTTTGGGTCTTTCATTAATGTTTTATACATTGTCTCTTTTTTGTTTATCGATGTTAAGAGTGCAGAGGTTATCCATTTTCTTCGTTTTATATTTTGTTTTTTTAGCTTGACATTTTTTGTATTTCTTTCAATATATGAGTTGAGTTTTTGAATGAATTTATCAGTCATTTTGTCTATATCCCGTACCGAGTATAGGTCGACCCATGTCTCGTTTTCCAAATCGGTTTTTAATGATGAGAAGTTTATATATTGCTTGTATTTATTTCCATTTGGAATATTATTATGTGAACTTTGGTTTAGATCTATTGTTAATGCTATAGGGTAATGGTCTGTTATATTGAATTGGAAGACAAATGATTGGGTATTTCTATTGGATACAGTTTTAACAAAGAAGTGGTCAATACATGTTTGACTCTGTGGTCGGGTGTAACTATTGATGTATGACTCATACCCAAAACTATTCAAGGAATTTTTGTATTCTTCGACAAACTCTGAATCTGAAAATAAGTCTATATTGATATCTCCCGTTATTATATGCCAGTCACTTTTTTCAATAGACTGTATATAGTCCAATAGATCTATATTGAACCTTTTTGGACAAGTACTTGGGGGTCTGTAGATGGCAGTTATCATGGCATTTGCATATTTTGATTTTGTTGTAATTTCAAGAGCCTTAATGTCACCAATGTTTATTACGCTATATGTGAAACTAATGCTGTTTTTAATATACACTATTACACCATCATTTTTTGTTCAGTGTACCTTTGTTATATATTGTGGTGTAGCCGTCAATTTCTACTATATTCAAATCATAGACAAGATATGTTTCAAGATGATTATTATGATTCTTGTTTTTTTTTAGGAACAAAAAATCGTTATTGGTGGTCAAACGATCAACTACGTGAAAGTTGGACATGGCTCCAAAACAATTTTTTGTTTGTCAGGAGTGATGGGATCGATCTGGAGGGACTTCAAGCCGCAGATTGACGGCTTCGATAGGAATAAATTCACTGTTGTCGTTTGGGATCCACCAGGTTATGGTCGCAGTCGTCCTCCTTTGAAAAAATTCACTCCGAAATTTTACGAAAATGATGCGGAATGTGCACATCAATTTATGAAGGTAGGTTGCCTTGGTGTCAACAAGATAACACCGGCAGCAAATTTGAACCGTCATCTCATAACGAAGTGACAATCACATAGCTATGTCCTGAAGGCATGTAAAAATATTGTATTTTTCCGTCGACCTCGTATTAACGACTAAGTTTAATGTATATGAAATCGTTCATTAATGACCCCTATTAATGAACGATTTGTCTCTTAATGCACGATTGTTTTATAGGCAATCAAACATACACCGCGTGCATCAATTGTTTATGCTATAACGGCATCTGCATTTAAATCGAAAATATGGATTTCATCGAAAATATGGATTTCATCGAAGATTTTCCGTTAACGGGTTCGCCTTTCCAAGTTTCTGAAACGATTTTAATCCCTGTTTTCTAACACAAGGAATTTATTTTCTATGTTGATCATTTCGACAAATGTCAAATGTCACTAATGTCAGTAACAAGGCTACTGGGTGATTTTTAGTAGTTTCCGGATGAATGAAGAATTCGCGAACCAAGTTTTCTTCATTGCAAGAAGAATGAGAAAAGTCGACGGAAAAATTTTGTAACCAACTCGTATATTAAAAGGCGACTAATGATCTCGAACATTAACGCGCTCGCACGTTAAAATATCTCGATATTAATCGCCGTCATTAATACACTAGTTGGTTAAATAACTATTTCCGTCGACCTTGTATTAACGACTAAGTTTAATGTATATGAAATCGTTCATTAATGACCCCTATTAATGCACGATTGTTTTATAGGCAACCAAACATACACCGCGTGCATTCATTGTTTATGCTATTACTAGCGGAATCTGCATTCAAATCGAAAATATGGATTTCATCGACGATTTTCCGTTAACCAGTTCGCCTTTCCAAGTTTCTGACACGATTTTAATCCCTGTTTTCAAACACAAGGAATTTATTTCCTATGTTGATCATTTCGACAAATGTCAAATGACGCTAATGTCAGTAACAAGGCTACTGGGTGATTCTTAGCAGCTTCCGCTTGGATGATGAATTCGCGAACCAAGTTATCTTCATTGCAGGAGAAATGAGAAATATACTCGACGGAAAAATTTTGTAACCAACTTGTAAATTAAAAGGTGATTAATGATCTCGAACATTAACGCACTCGCTTCGCTCGCACGTTAAAATATCTAGAATCTAGATCATTAATCGCCCTCATTAATACACTAGTTGGTTAAATAACTATTAATGACCGGCGGTCGTTAACTGTTCCATAACAACACGATGTTGGGATTTTTCTGTAGAATTACGACGTACGTATGGTTTGTTCTTTCCTCGGAATCAAAATGTAATCTTTCAGCGGTATTAAGAAAAGTCTTTAACGACACACGGCCGATACGCAAATAACGGATTCGGATGTTTTAATCATCGGCTGCGCATCGTATTACAATATTCAACCTCATCCTTTATTTGCTACATATCGGCCTTGTAATGTTAATAATTATATGACGGTCAAAATTTGCAGCCGGCTATCGACTATTATACGTTTTCGAAAAAAATGTTCCGGGGTTAAGATGACTCATTTTAGTACTAGGAATTTATACACGTCTGCCAGGAATAATTTTCTATAGAGAAACGATCCATGGCCATCGTTGCCCTACCTACTTGAGTCTGGCACGTGTGGCAAACGATAATCCCTTCGGTCGGGCGTGGTATGGCCGCAAAATGGACTCGCTCAAAGGAAGTGTTGACGCGATACGTCGCACGGTTTCTCTTTTAGAAAATTATTCTTGCCACACGTGTATAGCTCTTCAGGCAGATCTAGAAATGCAATGAAATACAGGTTGTTCCATTTGAAATATCAAAGTTGCTACTTCTTTCTGGTATAAGTGGCAACGCTGCATTGCTGAAAATATTTTAGATCGATAGACCTAGAGCAACTACTAGTTACCAAATTTTCAGAATGATCCTGTGTCCCGTTCACCTTAAACGTCTAGGGTACCATCGACCGTGGCCCACCCTGTATAAGGATTACGAATTCTGTGGCGTGACAACACACAACACGCTATATATCATCATTTTTTTTTATTTCAGGAATTGGGAATCAGCAAATATTCTCTAGTTGGTTGGAGTGATGGGGGTGTTACAAGTATCATACATGCTGCTAATTACCCGGAAAAAGTTGAAAAATTGATTGTGTGGGGTTCAGGAACTTTCATAATACCCGAAGAAATCGAAAGCATTGAATGTAGGTTCAAAACTATGGAAATATCCTTCATAAAATCAATGTAAAAGTCCATAATTTTCTCCAAGTGGAGTGGAGTGGAGGGATGATAAGATCAGCAAACACAAGATTGTCACCATAACGTTTGATAATCAGGAATTATTAAATTTAAAAGAACATGTTTCAGACAATTGAATGTACATCATCAGCCATTGATCTGAACAGGGCAAAAGTACATTTTAGTTACATGAACATGAGGAAAACAGATCATTTACTCATGTAAAAAAAATCATGAAAAAGTAGTAAGATGTAGTTTGTTCCAGGCACCGGTAAGATGACAGTTTCTTGTCATTGAACCTTCAGGTTGTTTATCGGTATAGGGCCATTCATAATTAGCCGTTCTTAACACAGTGTAGGCCGTTTCAAGGAACAGAAGATGATTTTGTGTTTTCTGATCCAATTTAGAACACAGAAAAATAAGTTGGGTTTGCTCAGTGAAAAAATGTCGTATCGGCATTCGTTTTCATGATACAAGGTGTTGAAAAATTGATTTTTTAAACATTTTTCACGATTATGTCGAAACTACTGGCATCATTGTGATGAAATTTTGTATGAATGTTTCTTGCAATCTGACACATAACATGAATTTGTTTTTATAACTGACTCTCATAGAGGGCGCTAGTTACAGGGTTCGTACCGAGTAGTTTAGAACATAACTTTTTTGAGGTTATATTTTTCAATCCAAATATGATATGAACTTGAACATCATTCAATTGTACACCAAAAAGGTACTCTTGGTGAAACTCGATACTATGTTCCGTTTTCGGAATATTTCGATTCGAAAATAAGGGAGTAGTAATGATTCTGGTATAAAATGAATTTTATTGAGTTCAATTACCTATTAATTCAGATTCAAAAACAATGAAATTATTCTTGTGCTGAAGTTATTGATGGAAAAAAGAATCATAAGTAGAAAATTAAGAGATATTTGACTTGAAACATGAAATATTGAATCAGTTACGTTTCGAAGAAAAAACGATTCTATATTCTATTCTTAAGAATGTACTATCCTTCTTAACAGTTGAGGATCAGCTGTTAGGTCATTTTAGTGATTTTCAATCATGTCTTACAACTCTTGTGTGACGTGTATTTACCTTTGTAGCATAGACTTTCTGCTCAAGATACAACAAAACTGTGTAATCCATGTTCTTAATCAAATCTGTTTAGATGTTATTCTTGTGATTCATTGATAAATCAATAAGTTCAGCATCAAAAATGCATGGTTGTTTTCGGTTTTCAATAAATAGGTGATAATTTTTTATAATACTCACTCTAATACATAGCTTTATACCAGCAACAGTTATCACTTCATCATTTTCAAATCGAAATATTCCGAAAACGGAACACAGTATCGAGTTTCACCAAGAGTACCTTTTTAGTGTGGAATTGAATGATGTTCAAGTTCACATCAAATTTGGATTGAAAAATCTGACCTCAAAAAATTTATGTTTAAAACTACTCGGTACGAACCGTGTAACTAGCGCCAGGGCATAGAGTATAGGCCCTGCTAGCGCCCACTATGAGAGTCAGATATAAAAACAAATGCATGCGATGTGTCAGATTCCAAGAAACATCCATACAAAATTTCACTACAATGTTGCCAGTAGTTTCGACATAGTCTTGAAAAATGTGTAAAACAATATTTTTTCAACACCTTGTATTTTGATAACGGATGCCGTTACGAATTTTTTTTACTGAGTAAACCCAACTTATTTTGCAGTGTTCTAGCTACCCTAGTAAGGGGTCAGGTTTTTTGAAACACCCTGTACAATAAACCACGTCTCAAAAGGAATGTCAATGAATATTCTTTTGGTAACAGCTCCGTTTTCGAATAACATTAAGTGTTATTTCTGTTGTTGAATCATCTCGCTATTATATGTACAGTGTGTTACAATTTGCTCCACCCAACCCCTGTATTTCCTTATTCCTTGGGCGATTCGGAATTTTTTTTTCTCATATTATACTCCCCAAAATTATCTACTTCTGTCGAGAAAAAAAAATGATCAAACCCAATTTCTTGGCCTACTGCGATCACAAAAACTAGAGCAAAATTGAAGAAAACAGATTAGGCATTTTTTTACAAAAATTTCGATAATGGCAATCGATTCGGACTAGTCACAAATACTCCTATATCAATTTTCAAAACAATATCTCATACGGGGTGTTTTTTATTAAGGTTACAATTTTTCAATAATTGCATTTTTCAAGTCACCGTGTATAATGATCTTATAAGAATTTGAATGATACCAGGCATGATGGTAGTCAGGATCAGATCATCTGGCTACAGAGTGAGATGAATAACGAATAAAACCATTAGAAATTCAGATTTTTTATCAAGAAATTTAAAGAAAAAACTAAATAAAACCTATCAAAAAATAACATCGAAAAATTATACAACGAACGAAACATCAATTATATCAACAAGTTTAGATGTGTGTATTCTCTATCAAATCTCCTTCATTCTCCATACATTTTTCATATCTTTTTCTCACGTTATTTACAACTCTCATCAATTCTTCTGGTTGTATCTCTCTACAAACTGTTATTATCCTTTGTCGCAACTCTTCTCTATTGGTTGGCCTGAATTTGTAAACCTTTTCTTTCACTTTTCCCCAGAAGTAAAAATCAAGAGGGGTTAAGTCCGGTGAACGGGGAGGCCAGTGCATTAATGGACTATTACGACCAATCCATTTCAAAGGAAATTTTCGATTCAACCATGCTCGCACAGTGATGGCGTTATGGATCGGAGAACCATCCAGTTGAAAAATAATATCTTTTCGTATATTAATTGGAAGTTCTTCACGACTATCCCATAGCTGATTTTCTAGGAAATTGCGGAAATTGTCAGCATTCATCGTACCATCGAAGAAGAGAGGTCCAATGATCATATTGTTCAAAATTCCACACCAGACATTAAGTTTTTCGGAATATTGTCTCTTATAATTAACAACCCAGTTAGGATTTTCCGATGCCCAATATCTCGAGTTCTGTGAAGAAAATATTTCATTTGTCGTGAATGTCGCTTCATCTGTGAATAAAATATTCTTGAGGAAATTGTTATCATTCAGAAAATGTCCTTGAGACCACAAACAAAACTCCATTCTTCTTTCAGTATCACCTTCTTCAAGTGTGTGAAGGAATTTAGGTTTGAAAGGTATTTTTTTGTTCTTTTTCAGCACTCTCCAAACCTGAATGTGATTCAGTGCCAAGTCGATAGCTATTTGTCTCAAACTAGCATTTGGATTAGCTGTAATTCTTTCGAGTATAGCTGCTTCATTTCCAATTCTTCTTTCTGGGCCTCTTTTTATCGTACTTGCAACATTACCAGTTAGTTCGAATTGTTTGATTATTCTCGAAACTATTTTGTGATCTATAGGGTTACGATTTGGGTGTCTTACATTGAATTCTTCAGCTGCTGCTCTGTAAGAAATTATGTTTTCTCCTACTAATCTTACGATCAAAACTTTTTCTTGAAGAGTTAATTTCTCCATTTTATGATTTTTCACAACCTGCTCTACTAATTTTCAATATTCTAGTAGTCAAGTCGCAATACTTTCAGATTTGCAAGATTTCACAATACTAGCTGTCAAAGTTGTTTGAGAAAAGCGAAGCGTAATTCATGGCCAGCTTTTCACATAATTTTCAATCAGTAGGATTCATCAGAATTGAACAGTAACAACATTTCTCCTTTTAATTATTTTTACAAATTCATGCCTAGAGATAGAGAAGTGTTATTGCGATAAAGAATGATAACAGTTTGCAGAAGGACTGATGAGAGTTGAATAATTGCTGTTTTGTTCGTTGGATAATTTTTTGAAGTTATTTTTTTATACGTGTTTTTAGTGTTTTCTTTAGATTTCTTGATAAAAAATCTGAATTTCTAATGGTTTTATTCGTTATTTATCTCGTAATTTTGGGGAGTATAATATGAGAAAAAAACATTCCGAATCGCCCAAGGAATAAGGAAATACAGGGGTGGGGTGGAGCAAATTGTAACACACTGTATGTTAAAACCATAGTAAGAGTATAGTGTAACTCGCACGGAATGTTAAACTCCCACTCGTATGATTAGTAGCATTCGCCTATGGCTCATGCTGCACACTCCATACTCCTGGGAAATGACTGTCATTCCAATATAGGTACTATTTCCTTACATATTAATTTTAGTGATGCGAGATTTGAAGAGATGGTCGCATAAAATGAAGGAACCCCTTCTACAATTCTATACGGAAGAGGAATTGCAATTAATGTTGAACGAATGGCGTGACACTCTTGCAGAAATACTACAAAATGGTGGCAATATTTGTAAAGATCGACTGGGAGATTTGAAATGCCCAACTTTGATACTTCATGGTGATAAAGACCCTGCTTTAGATCCCATTCACCCAGGATTCATGATTGAAAATATAAAGAATGCAAAGTAAGAATAAATACTATATAGGGTGCATCATCCTGTAACTTTTTTGAGTCGTCGCAGCTTTATTGACATTTATCTAATTTCTCGTTTATTTATTCGATGAAATATACCTACACAGGATGAAATAATCAATAATATATCTTCCAACATATATGGAGTCATCAAATACATGATTGAATATAGTTTTTAAGGGAAAATTGTACTGAAATCACTTTGTTGCTACCTGTATATTTCCAAGACTACAATAATTTCGGTTGCCTTACAGTCAAATATAGGAAATACTGTTGACTATGAATATATACAGTGTATCCCAGAACAACGTGCAATCCATTTCACAGGGTGAGCTGTAGAATATAATGTGTGTTGTTCTGGGACAATCTGTATAAATTAGTTACCAAGGTAAGCAATCAATTTGATGATTACTCCAATATTTTCAGGTTGCATCGGTTTCCTGAAGGAAAACATACAATACATCTGAAGTACTCTGAAGAATTCAACAAGCTTGTCACAGATTTCATTTTGGAAAAGGAATAACATAAATATGAAGTATGTATTGATACACTCACCGGCAAAAAGAACGGCAGAGAAAAATCTTGCAAAATTGATCGCCCTGTAACTTTTTTTATTCTTCTCAGATTTGGAAGAAATTTCGACTAAATCGTATATTTATGTTTCGGATTGTTAGCATGAATGTTTTTTTCATTATTAAATGGATTAAATGGAGGGCAAGTATGTATAACTAAAGTGCACAAAGAAATGAGTGGACCTACATAAATGTTTGCCAATTTTGAATTTGCCATAATTTTTCGAAAAATGAATTGATTTTCAATCGGAAAGCAGTGCTTGAGAGCTTCCACACCAAATATTTTAAAAAATGTTCGAGTGCCTCAGTTTTCCACAGGATTTTTTTCATTTATTACTGATCCTGTTTTCAGAACGCCTGAGACGATATCTCGAAATGGTTTCGGATTTTTCGATATTCGTTTTTTTTTCGATTTTCTGGATTTTATCGCATCACTGTGGATTCAAAAATTCCGTGGGCAATATTCAAACCATTTTGCCTCGTTATACCATTGAAGACATAAAACTTTGAAATCATGAACATCTTCAACAGGAAAACAATCCCCTTGTTTTAGAAAATGTTTAAAGCTTGGTGAGATCGCCTGTTCAGTTCGTTCGATGTTGCCATAACCAAAAGCTATTGAAAACAAGAATTCCTCATTTGGATCAACTGCCCTGGTCAATATCTTCAGACAATTTCGTGATTTTTCAGATATCTCAAATCAAGGGAGCGTAAGGAGCACTTCTGGATTATTCTGACCTATACGAACAGTAACAAAGATTCAGTGCTTTTCAGACTTCCATGGGCTAGCATGATATCAAGAAACACAAAAATTTTGTTTTTGTGTAATCAACACCTATTCATGCGAATGATACCATTGGAACACCCAATATAACATTTCATCATGAGGGATCCGCCCTTTCCGCCAAACCTTTGACAAATAGGGTTGTACACACTAGTCGAATTTACGCCACATACCTATTTTATATTGATCATTCCGTGTATAAATAGTATTTGATACAATCATTCGTTATTTAAAATTATCGCAAATATATTTTTTTAATAATTAAATTCGGTGTCTTCGAAAAACGCCAGGTTCGATGACGTCATGACCCAAATTCTGGCTTTCGTATAAAAAGGACCATATATTTTGAGGCTGCCAGATTTGTAACTAGTAATTACCTTATGAGATTCAGTAAGACTAATGACAATGGTATTCACATTCACAGAAGACAAGTTCATCCTGGTGGTCCCTAATAATCACTTATTGGATACCTATATACTTGCAAGACGCTTCAGTACCTATAAAATTATCCTAGTATTCCTAATAATGATCGAGATTTTATTTAATCCCAAATTATTTTGTGGCAACAGTGCAAAGCCTAAGTTCCCAGAAATACAAAAAGAGAAGAAGACAAACTAAATTGTCAACCTAACTTCCTGACGTTGTTTCATCTAGTGAAGATGCGAAAATCAAAGATAATCCTCATAATCTGATTATTTAGTTGTGTGTTGGTTCTCTGTTATCTACAGTACCTAAGTATTTAATTCTGAAAATTCATTCCATATGCTGATTGAAATGACAATCAGAAATATCCTTGCACTTGTTTATCAAAAATAGAAAATTGAAACGTGAGTCGAATCTTATATGATGTTTTCGGATGATTACGTCACGCATTTTCCCTCGTTTTTCATGTTATGAAATATCGTGAATTTCAATAATTATTTGAAAAAGTCAGAACTCTGAGAAAAAAAAACTGTTCGTGACAGTGCACTAGTTAGGGTTAGTACTTCGAAATAATGAAATAAAATGTTTCACTGAAACATGGCCATTGTCGTTATTCTTCCACAATATGAGCTCGAAAATGCTCTCAGACTCATGCATTGTTAATGACAGCAATGATAACAATGCTATTGTGGAAGAATGACAGTTGTCAAAGGAGATGTTATATTTACTAAACTAAATTTTTGGGGCATTTCCAATTATGTGATGAACAAACTTATGAGAGAAAAGTTTCTCGATATCCTGCTAGCCTATGAAAGTCTGAAAATCACTAGATCTTTGTTACTGTTCCTATAGGTCAGGATAATCCAGTAGTGACCCCTCACGTCCCCTTGAATTGAGATATCGCGAAATGGTCCCAAGATATTAACCAGAGCAGTTGATCCAAATGAGGAATTATTGTTTTCCTACGACAACCTATGAAAACAGTACACAAAACACATTGATTTGTTATTGAGAAAGTGACTCGTTTCACTATGACAACATATAACAGTTAGAAAGTTCGAAAGCAAAACTCACATGGGTGGAAATATTCGAAAATCGCACAGTAACAGGGTCTATAGATTATGATGTACCAATGAATGATTATTATGCTGAATTATGGTGAGTTGAGTTATGGTCAAGTTAATGGAAAGTTAGTGTCGATTTAACATGAGTTATTGTCGTTAATGTTGACGTAATGTTAAGTTGATGAAGAGTTGAAATCAAGTTAATTTCAATTGAAAGTTGAATTAATGTCAATGTATTGGCAATTTAGTGATTAATGTGAAGTTAATGTCAATTTGATATTGAGTTAATATTTCAATATCATTTAGTCATGGCAGCATCGAACTGAATTGGCGTAGGATTCAAGTTATCAAGTGATATAAGTATAATCTATGAAGCGTGTTTTAAGAAATATAACCACACTCTCATCAAACTAAAACTTCAATAATTTGAATGAAACACTCAAAGATATAATTTGCTTACCACTCTAGCAGATCTTGCTTGTCCCCTCATTTTTCCTCTGCATTTCAGCCATCTTCTTCATTCCATTTTCCGAAAGAACCCAATTTTTCCAATTTTCAATAAAATACAAATATATATATATATATTCCTAGCTTACTCAGGATCTTATATGTAATGAAAGATAATTTAAAATCATCCTTTTTATTAATTTTTTTACAAACAATTCCGTTAAAAAATGACAATCTAGCTGTTTTTCAATACCCACTGCCGAAAACATTTTCCTTTTTTCCAGCAAGTTAGTAGCTATAAAGACTATTAATGTAGTAACAATTTTTAAAAATTACTTCAAATAGTAAATCTCCTTACAAACTAACCTAAAGAAACAAATATACATAACCTAAAGAATCTTTTATGTAGGTTACAAGGCGAGTCATACAGTTGAATCAACTGTTTTGCTTGTTCATACCACTCTTTTCAATAGTTTTTTGTGAATTTATTATTATAAAAATTTCAGGTACAGATCCGACTTTTTCCGGAAAGAGTTTCGAACTTATTGTTATTTGAGTTCCCAATAGTTTCTCCCACATTTTTCATCAAATGCGAAGATTTGGAATGAAAGGCAGAGAACAAATTTTATATTGAATATGCCAAATGTGGATTCATGCAAGCGTTGATTCAAATTTGGATGAATTTTGAACCGATAACGTAATATAAAATTATGTAATGCAATCAACAATTTCAGAAATAGGAAATATAAAGGGTAGTCAACAAAAATCAGAATGTTGTATTACGTGTGCTTAAAGAACTTTTCTGAACATAACGAGAGGTGAACATGCGAATCCGTCAGAAAATAACGGACATATGGAAAATATTGAATTACGGCTCAAAAAGTAGTTAATATTTATGTTAGGATTTGTACAGATAGAAGCCAAGTTCTGTGTCCCAAACGGTTACTGAGATATCGGCAAAAAATAAGAATTTATTGATACCCTGTATCTAAAAGAAATGTGCTTTACAGGCTCTTTTACGAGGAATTATTTTACCATTCTGTATTTTTCGACAAATGTTTTGAAACACGTTTGTTATTTGTGGAACCATTTTTGACAAAACCCTAAAACAGTATTAATAATCCTGAACAGCAATGTTTTACAATTCAACAGACAATGCGCCAAGTTGATATTGATAAATTAGGAAAGAAAATGCAAGGAATATAAAGTCAATTTGTGAAATCACACCGTGTTCTGTCCTGTCATCTATCAATTATTTTTTGACATATTCGCATGCCCGAGTTTTTGTTGTGTTCAGAAAAAAAAGAATTTCAACCTGTGGTTAGGTGTGCCCGAAAGTTTGTTTCATGAACGAATATGAAAAACATGAAGTTAGAGCTCTGTCTCGATCAACTTTCTACAAAAGAAGACCAACAGTAATGAAATTAGTTCAAAAATAAAACAGTTACTATTCGAAAAAAAATCCGTTTTCACTTTTTCGGATGACCCTATCAAAAGTGTTATTGAATACGTATTCTTGTTTGATTTTGCATGTAAAATTTATTTTTAGTACTTTCAGCCAATTTTTAGCAGCCGATGTCATCTAAATACCGGAAAAAATGAGATAGAATCCATCCATATTCTATGCATGTGAATAACACAAGTTAAAAGTAATTAATCAGTGGCAAAAAATCCACTCACATACAATGGTACAGTGAATTCATTTCAAATGAAGTATATTTTGAACAACAAAAAGCATTGTTCAACTATAAAAAAAATCGGTAAATTTTTCAACACTCTTTTTCTTCGGCAAAAAAAAAGGAAACTGGACAATTCGAATCAATTGAATTTTCATCAATTTCAATGAGAAGTATGCTTTGTATGTCAGCAATTTTATTTCCGTATCTGATATCACAATGACTCCACTGTGTTGTTATTTCAAAAAAATCTCATCGCTAATGAAGTGTCAAATTTCAAGAGATGACATCTCTGTCTTATAGATGAGCATGCGCATGAGCAAGTCCGTTGTTATCAGGCCTGGGTACTGGCGTAGAGATAATGGAGTGCGTTCGACTTCAAGTATTGCCCCCTTATCCGATTAATCCGTTATCATCCGGCCAGGTTACCGGCGTAGAGATCAAGGAACCTGATATTTTTCACACACACTCATCAAACTTCACATTAAATATAGAATTTCATCCAGATCAGGTCATTAGAAAAACTTTTGGACTTTTACACACATTAACCAGATTCATAGCCGTAGAAAAATTATAGTGTATAATGCTAATTTCCTATGGCTCATGCTGCAAACTTCATTCTCGTAGGAAATCACTATCATTCCGTGCTCGTTAAACAATATACTATTCATGTTGCTAATGATTGATGTTGCTCGTGAATACCCACCAAGTTTGAAATTCATCTAAATCTTCAATTCATTTCAGATCATTGGATGTTGCATGAATCCACTTTCAGTACAAAAAAAAATTAGTCCGGAAGCCAAGGAATTTTCTGAGCAAGGTCCTTTTACTAACTCATCATCATAAGTAACAGCTGGGTAATTTCAGACGAATTAGAAGAAAATTTCTTGTCTGAATGATATTTTCGAGTCAAAAGAATGAATTGGTTTAAAAAAAACTCACAATTTTCTAAGAAATATTCATCACTAACTTCAAACAACAAAGAACGATTGCCACAATCGACACTTTTACCAGTTGACAGACTGTAACCATTATGTTCTTGGTACATGATAATTTCAAAAATAATAATTTGAAAAAAGGGTTGTTTCTCAGAAGTTTGTATTAATGACCAAACTTTGTGGAACACAATGTCTCATTATTTCATAAAATTAATAGTGATTTTCAAAAAATGCTTGTAAAATTATAGTTGAACTTCTTTTATACGTCGTGGGGTGTATTTGTATTTAAAATAGTAAGACATTATTCCATTTCTTAATGAAACATAACCGTTATTTAATGATCTTACTTATAATTGTGATTTATCTTGATGAGTTTTTTCAAGTTCAGCTTGCTCAAAAACACTTCCCAAAATATTCATTGCCTTCTTCACAACATTTTATCAAAACCAAACATTATCGTTGTGAAAAAATACTTGTTAAGTATCATGGAAACTCAAACATCGAAAAGCACAACCACTCTTGATGATGATACTCTGAATCTCCAAGAATTCAAACTTAAACGTTGTTTCATGCGTGTATGGCTCGCCCAGATCATATCTTTGTTACTCATCATTTCCGTATAAAATAACAAATAACATTCAACATAACAAGATCCTGCAGTTGGCAACAGTTAATAAATACGTCAAAAGAAAATGATGAAAAAAAAAACATCCATTTATGTACAAAAATACCATTATCTAATAATAATTGTTCATCATTTTCTTCAAGCTAAACTGTTGCTACAGCAAGACATACTTACAAACATTACAAAAAATAAATAAATTCACTGTTTCACCTAGATACACATCCAAGTTTGAAAAAAGTAGGATATACTGGGTGTTCGCAAAAAAGAGGTCTACCCGTTAACTATATTTTCTTTATAAATAAAAATAACATGGCAACTGCTATCATGACATTCCGAACCCCCAAAAAAACTTGTTAATTCTCAAGAAATTTGGTCAGAAAAATTAATTGCTTTCAAGAATGCCATAATATAGTTGTTTCAGACTACGACTTTACTATGAATTGGGCCTTACTCATACTTTTTGAGAACCTTCAGATTTTTTTCTGTCGTTTTTTCGTGTCCGATTCGCTCGCCTAGTACAGGGCGTCAAAGTTTGAATTTTGAAACTATTTTCCTTAGGTAACTCAAGTACTTTTTGTGAATCAATTCCAAATTTGAAATAGCAATTCAATAAAATGAATCACATATTTTCAGACAAAAACGTTGTCTTATACTTCGTTTTGGGTTTATTGGATTTCTGTCACCTTTCGGTAACAATTTCTCCAGATCAGGTAATTCAGATAATTTTTTCAAGAATTATATATGGTTATGTACTGATATCATCTCTTGACACGACCACTAAAGACACCGCTTGTCCATCACCATAGCCGCAAGCCGAGTCCATCAATATTCATAAGATTTGATCGTATGTACTCCTATTATCCAACAAATCCGCTGTCATAAGGCCTGGATAACGGCGTAGAGATAATGGAGTACGTTCGACTTCAAGTATTTAACCCCTTATCCGATTAATCCGTTATCATCAGGCCAGGTTACCGGCGTAGAGATCAAGGGACCTGATATTTTTCACACACGCTCATCAAACTTCACATTAAATATAGAATTTCATCCAGATCAGGTAATTAGAAACATTTTTGGACGTTTTCACACATTAACCAGACGTATAGACCACGTGATCGCCGTCTGATCACTTCCATGGTCGGAAGGCGAATCCAAAACAGCTGTCAAACAATATTCTGACTTCGTTTTCGAGATGATTTGCTCTTGATCAAACGACCGATATTTTTCAAATTATCTCAAAAACGAAACACATCATCAACATTTTTTGAGACAAAAACAATCCATGATGGTCATCCCAAAGAAAACAGGAAATTTAACGGTATTTGTTTAAAATCGGTTGGTCTGTTACTGGTATTCTAGAGTAACGTGCATTTTTAAAGATAATTCAAATGAGGCTATGTAGCTTCTTGTTATTAATCTTTGGTAGGTTCCTAAAGTGCAGTGAAGTAGTAACTACTAAATATAACTTCGAGTATTTATTTAGTAATTACATTGTTATTGTTAGTCTGCATTGAACTCATTCCAATATTGTCTTCCAACTCCCATGGTGTTGCGAAGCATTTTCCATACCTCTGTTTGTTCTTTCAGAGAAATAATTTGAGAATATAGCAAGGGGGAGGGGCAAGGGATCCAGAAAAAACATTTTCGCACCGTAAAAAATGGGCTGCATGTGAAATTTCTGGAGTTCCAGGTCAAATGGCTTCAAATTGAAAATAAGATTTTTTCCACATTGACAATGACATCATTACATAATTATGTTTTAGTATTCAGTTCCATGTTCCCATTTTGTTTTGATTGATGTAAAATGATCTCAAGAGCAAGCAAAAAGTATTTTATATAGTGTCAGTAGGCGAACCGAGAAAGTGAATATTTATTTCTTGAGATGTTTTCTAAATCTCTTTTCTTTGAATGAATAAATTATTATCGGTTGTATTCTATTATACTCGTAGTAAGGACGTACAAGGTGTCACTGTTCATTTATATCCAGAGTTGGTATCTGAGATAACTTTTTCAGATTTCTGAAAGTAAAATTTTTTCAACACAGTTCATATTTTTTTAACAATCTTCCTTAGTCCTCACTACAAATACTAATATATTAAAAAATCACTCAAATTGTCATTCATAGAAAGGAGGAGAGAAAATCCCAAAGAATCTATGGAAGTGAAAACTATTGTGATAACAAAATATCGAAAATGATTAAATTTCGTATATCTATAAAAACTAAAAAAGTATCTTAATGACACATACAGGAGAATTCTCAAAAATGCAAAATGATGCCCCCTAGGGAGACGATACCTGCTCCCCCCCCCCCCCCCCCCCCCATAAATTCCCCACTGTATCTTATTTGTTATTAGCAAAATTTTATCCAGACAAGTTGGCCCAAATCACAAAGTTTGGAGTGAAAGATCTACTTTACTTCTACAGTGAGGACCAAAAGACCGTCACCCCCTTGAAACTCCTTTATTTTATGTATTAGCAAAAATTGTTGAATGCATAAGTTGCAGGGTGTCATTCGATTCATTCAATGGTTTGAGTTTTATTTATACAAAGTGTCTCAAAAAAGTGTGGCGACATTAATGTTTAATTTTTAAATGGGACACCCTGTATACCATTGCATTTTTAGATTCTACGTTGAATTTTGAGCAAGTTTGATGATGAAAAAAGTTTGAAGTTTTGGAATTATGAACAAGTTATGAACTATCATTTCCGTTAGAAATGAAACACAATGTATTTCACTTTTCTATCCTCACATTTTGAAAGTTTTCACCATTTTTTGCAATGTAAAATAAGGAAGTTCTGGAAGGGGGAGCTACGGACTTTCGGATCTCCCTGTATGTTCAATAACACTGTGCCACTCTGTATATTATATATTCAAATTGAACACTAACACACGCATGTTGTTTTTCGTTTCAAAGATGCGACTCATCTGTCAAAGTACTGCTCGAAAATTTGAAACAGTTTGATATTTCGAACTTTGATGCCGTGAGAAAAATTACATCACAAAAGTCTTGGTATTATTCAAATATCTCAACACCCTGTTAGTCAACAAATTGAATAGTCAACAAATTAAATAGTCAACAAATTAAATAGGTTACTAAGAATTTTTATAATGGAACAATAATTACTTTCAACGCTGGAAAGGATATCTATGGTTAACGTATTTACCTCATTTTGATAGACACCCAGTATACACTACAAGAAGCAAAAAAGCGCTCGCGAAATCGAAAAATATCGTTTGAAAAAAATAATTATAAAAATTCATGCAAGAAAATAAAATATGATCGTGCTCCTGTTGTATAAATTCTAGTTGTATAACATAAAAAATAATACATTATTTCTATAAATAAACATATCATACGACAGCCAAGCTGATGTTATTGAGAATGAAAGATTTTGAGTGAAAAACGTCCTGTGTATTACTAGAAGAAAATATTTAATTTTCAATAGCATCATATCGACCCTCGCAGTCACAACTTTGTTGTAAAATAAAAGAAAAATTATGAGTGAAACTTTGGTAAAAAACACTTGCTATGGATACTTGGTTCCCTAATTTGAAAAAATAAAGTGTATATACAATTTCTTATAAAAGTTGAACCCGAAATAAATACGAAAGAACGAATAAGTTTCGATAGAATATCAAGATAATTTACATAGAGGGATTTTCGAACCTTGGTCCTTTCAACACTGTCACCTCCCCGTAAGCTACTTCTTGTTCCAATTCGAGGACGTGGAACTTTTTCAGAACTAGCAAACTGTAGAATTTCTGTGCGGCCTGGAATTGAGAAGAATTTCATCAGAACAAACCTATAATGTAACAGGCTTTCTCATTTTCCTTGTCCTTATGGAATTTCTCACTAATTTTTGAAGATAGAAATTTGCGGTTCTCGCGAATGTTGGCTACTTTTTTGTGACTCACGATACCGAAAACAAAGTTTTCATAATGTTGCATTTTTTGACCCCCCCTGTATCTCAGTTGTCTCTCAACTTAGAGGAGAAGTAAAAACTGTGCCTTGTACATTTTTTCCCGTAGTGGCGTATTCAGATTCTCGAAATGAGCTGTTATCATCTAGATATAACTGCAGATATAACCCAAAGTTATGTTGTTTTAAGTGGAACACTCTGTATATTTTTTCATATTTGAACAATGATGCCTCGTGCTTTCCAAAAATATATAAGACTCATAAGATATTTAAAGCATTGCACTTTTCGAAAATACATAACACTTATAAGATATTAACACGTTAATATTAGCTTGGTATGTATGTTTGTTTGTGGGTTTGTTTGTAAACGGAATCAAGAAATTTTTGTTAGAAAAAACAAACAAAATGGCGGCTCCAAAATGCCGAACAAGTTTTGAAATTATAATCCGATTCTATTAAAATTTAATATCTAGGGGTTTTCACCCGGAGTCGGAGATTATAATTCTTTAGTCAAAATTTGGAAATTCAAAATGGCGGACGAGCTTTGTAAATATCATCCGATTCTATTCAAAACTGGAATCTGAGGGTTTCGGGGTCGGAGATTAAGAATATTTCGTCAAAATTTGGAAATTCAAGATGGCGGATCCAATATGGCAGATGAGTTTCGTAATTATGATATGATTCTATAAAAAGTAGTGTTCGGGGGATTTTAGGGGTCGGAGATTATGATTCTTTCGTGAAAATTTAGAAATTCAAGATGGCAGATCCAATATGGAGGACGAGTTTTGTAATTATGATCCGATTCTTTCAAAATTGGATTCTGTGGGTTTCGTAATTACATGATTCTATTTGAAAGTGGTGTTCGGAGAGTTTTAGGGGTCGGAGATTATGATCCTTTCAGCAAAATTTGGAAATTCAAGATGGCAGATCCAATATGGCGTACGAGTTTTGTAATTATGATCCGATTCTTTCAAAATTGGATTATGTGGTTTTCCGGGTCGGGGATTAGGAGTCTTTCGTCAAAATTTGAAAATTCATGATGGCAGATCCAATATGGCGGACCAGATTTTTAATTATGATCCGATTCTTTCAAAATTGGATTCTGTGGGTTTCCGGGTCGGGGATTAAGATTCTTTCGTCAAAATTTGAAAATTCATGATGGCGGATCCAATATAGGGGATGAGTTTCGTAATTACATTATTCTATTTAAAAGTGGTGTTCGGGGAGTTTTAGGGGTCGGAGATTATGATCCTTTCGTCAAAATTTGGAAATTCAAGATGGCAGATCCAATATGGCGGACGAGTTTTGTAATTATGATCCGATTCTATTCGAAATTGGTATCTGCATGGGGATTTTAGGGGTCGGAGATAATGATTCTTTCGTCAACTTTAGGAAATTCAAGATGACGGATCCATTAAGCCGAACAACATTTGTAATTATGATCCGATTCTATTCAAAATTGGTATCTGAGGGTTTTCGGGGTCAGAATCATGATTCTTGCGTCAATATTGGGAAATTTTGTTATTAAGATCCGATTCTATTCAGAATTTGTATCTGGGATTTTTAGAGGAAGGAGATTAAGATTCATTCGTCGAACTTGGGTACTTGCGAAAAATATGAAAACACTAAAAAACGCTTTTGTAACTAGCCGAACTAAATAATAGAAAGTAATAGTAGTTCAAAAAACTAAAGAAAGACGTTTTTATAGATAGCCAAACTAAAAAAAGTAGATAATAAAATAATAAAAGTGTGTTGATGAAAATACACAACATAGACAAATATGTACACCTAATCAGTATTATCTATGCTGTGTATTTATCAACACACTTTTATTATTTTAGTCTCTATTTCTTTCAAGTTTGAATTTTTATAAAAACGTGTTTCATATTCACCCTGTGCTGACACAATGTTTCATTACACACTAGTTTCAATTTAACATTCAAAATATCTACATATACATATATTCAGCACTATTTATGGATTATAAAAGCTGTGGACCTAATTAGTAGGTGGCCATGAAAAAGAGCAAGTGTAGAATGTTTTTATAATCCTTTTTACCTGACAACGTGATTGAATCATGAATATTGAAGTTTGATAGAATTACTCACTCCCGAAAAAACCGAAAGCTTCACAAAAACGAAAATATGATACATAATTGACTACAAAATTATCATATTTGAAGAAGACGGTGATAGGAGAGATTTCATGGGGCAACAAATATATTCCACAAAAAATATTAATGAAGTGAAGTTTTGAAGAGTTACTTGAAGTAACTTCATAGTAAATGTAAAAAAACTTCACAAACGATAAGATTTCTGAAATCTGGATTTTGTGAAAATTTTATCGTTTGTAAAATATCTTACTAAAATCAAAGAAACATACCTGTTTTTTGTTATTCCTCAAACACATTTCAGATAAAGTGATCTGCTCTACATTATGGAATTTCTGTTTAACAACGTTAAACATTTGATATGCCCTTTTATTCAACACCCTTTCTTCAAACTGCTCATCTGTTTCGTCAACTTGTTGTTCTTCAGTCTATAAAAAAAATCCAAAATAATTTTATGTGAAAAAAAAATAGGTACGTTAATCTTATCGCAGACTATTATTCATAATACTCACCGGACCAGGGTCGTAGTCATAGTCTCCTGTCCAAGGTGAATGTGCCCTTTCAGACATGCATCCTGGTGGTGTGTGACCTCTCAATTGATCATCATAACCCATATTTGCCATTTGGTTCTATAGAAGAAATATAAAACATTGAAGAATATCGATCGGAAAGCAATTTGAAAAATGTCTATGATGACATCGTAGAGTTGCATTTCATCATCATATAATCAAGACCTAACGAGTTTGGAAAATACAATTTTGTTTCCTATGAGCGTGCGAAAAGTAGTATGTACTTTTCTGCGTGCATTTGCACAATGAATTGTCAATAATAATTGTTCTTCCATTATAAATTTTTTATCATCATTCTATATTGTTTGTTGTATAATTATTTTAATTTCTATCAAGTTCAACTGAAAATTACTCAATGTTGATTTTTTTTTTGTTGGCCTGATACGAAGCTCATAGAAAAATAGCGGAGCAACACTTCGGGTCTGACATGAATGCCTGTATATAAGTCTTGCTGACTAACCTTGATGGTCAACCCAATGATATTTCAACTTATCGTGTCTTTATAAGGTATTACAGTCTGATGGTGGCGGTTGTGGCGAAACCGGTTTCTTTTTGATCGACTAATTTTTACTTAAAGTGTGATCCACTGACTTTATTTCTTTGAAAATACATCGGACCACTTTGAGTATGGATGATTTCAACGATTTATTCTAATATCGGTTATTTGAATGCTCTATTCAATACACTGTGGTGGGTACCCGATTGAAATCTATTCATAAATTAAAAACATTTTCAAAGAACACTTGTATAAACAAAACCCTAATTATATGTTTCAATAGATGAACGTACAAGACATTAGCAATAAAAAATATACATTAAAAACCCTCTAGAAAGGCCTCACGGTGTCCAGAGGTTGGCCATCAGAAGCGCAGTGGTGTGGACTTCATTCAACAAGTGTGCTGGAGTTGATGCCGGAGCTATGTCCTATGTAAAAGGCGGTACTTTGATTTTCATGGGGCGATATTTCGTGACCTTGAATATCTGCTTTGATGCCGGAGGTATGTCCTATGTAAAAGGCGGTACTTTGATCTTCATGGGACGATATTTTGTAACCTTGAATCTCTGCTAAGTATTACTTCTGTCATTTTTGAGCAGCAAATTTGATTTGAATGAAAAGAATGTAGATCTAGGCGCACCTACTTTCAGCATATTATTCAGTTAATCAATTTGATCATTGGTTTCCTTCTTGCTGAAGTCTGTAATAGCATAGGTCGTTCAGAATCTAGAATTATTTTCAATTTTTAAATTTGACGTTGACAAATGTAACACTCAGCTTCACACATGCGCTCTCAGATTTTGGGCGGGAAGGCGGTCTTACACTTCTGTGTAGTCAACCCATCACCTCTCACTGAACTCATTTGAGTACACTTCAAATTATGGTGTCCTATCTACATCTATTGAAATTTTTCAACAAAATAATGTCGTGGTAATATTCTGCAATATACAAGAAACTCGTAATCTTGAGATGTACTCACAAATGGCGTGAATGCCGATCATGTCAACTAAAGAGATTGTGTGAACAAGTGCTGACTAAATCTCTTGTTTTCAAGAGTTACTTTTTGCACTGCGTTCGTTGAAAATTTTCATTTGGCTCGGTAAATTAGCTGACCAGGTGTATTCGAGTTGCTTATACTATCCTGACACTTAACTTTTCATTATTCCTCACATAATCGAAAAAAAAAACAATGGAGTACTCATTTGGGTACAACGGGAAGATATGTGTGATAAATTTCGGAATTTTATTTCAGAACTGGGTTCGAAATAGGTAATAATTCTCAGCCAATTTCTTCAAAATGTTCTATGGCGAACGTTTCATAACATTAGAAGAAGGAATGGATGACGTTCTTGCTTCAAACCGTGAGCCTGAAATGATTATTACATCTGAGGTAGACACTCAACGAGATGAAGAAGAATTTGACGAAAACGGTATTGGTATATCCTGAGGTATATCTAACTTCTCCATTGATATTCCTTGAGGAGTTGAAATTCCGTGTTCCTCAGATGATGGAATTCCTTCACCTGAAGTAGCTGCTAGAAGTCAAGCAGTGATGGATAGCGACAATAGCAACAGCCCCGACGACAACGTGCCGTTTTCAGAACTTTTTTCCAAGAAACCCAAAACTTCTCAAAAAATGAAGGAAGTAGAAAATAGGAGAAGCCCAAGTGAACAAGGACAAGGAATTACATGGATATCGGTAATAAGTATGACAGGCAGAACGAAGGGTTATGAGGAGTACAAAAAATGGTAGTGGATGTAAAGAACGATAGTGTAGTTCAGACCTTTGAGAGATTGTTTGATGATGAAAACGTTGAACAATCAAACCCTTATACCTCACAAAAAAATAACCAGTTTTGTGGTAACCGAGGCCGACATAAAAATTTGGATAGAAATTCTGCTGTTTGCTGGCAATTACCCCCGAGAACACATATACTGGAGCGTTGACGGTGAAGTTTCGGTACCATTCGTTGCTTCCAGTATGTCTAGAAATGAATTTCAAGAAATAAAGAGGTACATACACTTCTCTGACAATACCCAACTGGATTGTGATGCAATTTTGAAATATTAAACACTTTTTTGTAGTATTCGAGATTTTTTCTATGCACCCTCCCATCGTACTCATTTGAGTACACCAATTTTTTTTCGACACCCTGCTACAAATTTTTTCTTTCAATATTTTTCCTAGTGTTTGTGATACTAGGAAGGACAAAGTATCACAAAAACCTATGAATATAAGAAAAAAATATCCGTGGGAGGTAATGGCCCAAAGTGTTCGGGGACCCCGACTCACCTGATCGTAGCCCATGTTCTCCATGGGCGGCAGATCGTCGTGCAGGTCTTCGAGCGGCTCGAGCGGCAGGTGGGCGTCGATGCCGGAGTGGTGAGGCGTCGGCGGGGGGACGCCGAGGCCGCCAACGGGCTGGTGGTGGGCGAGCAGGTCTTCCGAGCGGTGCGACGGCGTCTGCGACGACGCCGCGCCGGCCGACAGCCGTTCGTGCTCCTGCAGGATCGAGTGCACCTGCAACAAACGAGCGATCTGTGAGTGTATGTCGGGGTGGCATATTCATATGTAACCGACACAACCAGCCGCTCCGGAAATCCGAACGATTTTTTTAAAAGTTACAGACGTAACTTCAGGACTCCGTCGGTTAGTTATGCCTGGATCAAGCAACGCTGTACATTCTATAATTCTTGAATGATATTATTTTTTTCTGCGAATATGAGGAAGGAAAATACCTTTCTGCACAAAACCGAACTCGGCCGAAATGAAACCTTCTTCCTAAAAAGTATATTTTTCGGATAATTACTATTATAGAGAACAGTCTAACCTAACAAGGGCAAAGTGAACCTTTATTTCTATAAAGTTTATTTCACGGAAAACTTCTTGAGATTTCATGAATTAAAGAAAAAACCTAATCTCGCGAGGACTCAACTCGAGCCCTTTAGTTGTGGCAGATGGACGCTTGGCTCACTGTTGCACGGCCTCACTCAACCCTACTGAAGACGCGTCAGTAATTTTTCATCAAAGAACGCGTTGGGTCTAATATACCCAAAAGGAGAAAAATCTAATTTTCTGAATACAGTTTTATTTCTGATAACGTGTTACATAAATCATTGATATAGACAAATAGTAATGAAATGAACGAGGAATAATGTAATATTTTCATAACTGAAAAAATCGAAATAAAATAAAAATGGTATACATTCATGGTATCGCTGCAATAAACACCATGTATAACAATTATTTCGAGAATGTTGCCGTACACACTTGATGAACAGATACAGAATGTTCTAGGCATATAAATCTTTTACAAAACCTGCATGTCTATCTTCTTTTCCGATATTTACAGAAGGTACATCTCTCACGTTTATTTTGTTCAATTTCGATATGTTCAACCAACACAGTACCACCAATTCTAGCTGCAAGCTGTCGAACTTTTCTTGGCAGATATTGGGAGTTCACTCTGCACTTCATGTAATCCATCAAAAGTTCAGTACCAAGATGTTCCTTACGAAAATAGGGATGAAATTATTTCAGATGTATATAAAAAATACTTACACAAAGACACGGGTCGGGTATGCACTACCGAAATCTGCTCTAAAATCGTTGTTCTCTGATACATTGCGTTGAGACTACTGTAGTGTATGCATTAAGGGCTAGCTCGAAGGTACTGAGGCTATTAGCACCGTACGCCCTTTTATGTAAAAATGCCACAAGCAAGAATAGAATAGAATAGAATAGAATTTATTTAACCACGTTATGCATAAATACATTTGTAGCAAGTCAAAAGTGTGGTACAGATAATTGGGCGTACCTATTATACAAAACATTAAACAAAATAAGTGTAAATCAGTAATCTAATATAAAATATGAATAAAGGTTAGTTTGTAGGACTAATAATCATTATAAGTAAAAGTTAAGACATCCCAGTGGATCAATAAAATACAAGAAATTAAAATGACATAATACTACACTATATACATAGACACAATACAGAGTACAGACGAACTATCAGTAAAGGTTCAGGTACCTAAATGAATGGAGTCTCCATATATTCCTGAGTTGAATAAAAGGCTTTTTCAATAAGGAGTTTCTTGATTGTGTTTTTATAACTGTAGATATTCAAGTTTTTGATGTGCGATGGAAGTTTGTTATATATGTTAACGTCCAAAGTGTTGCATGTAGATGTTGTTAGCTTAAGCCTTGGAGGTCTAAGGTGTCCTGCATTTCTTGTTGGATAGTTGTGGATGCTTGCATGGGTCTCATATGTGTGGATATTTTTGCGGAAATGTGTTAAGGTGTTTAATATGAATAGCGATGGTAAAGTTAGAATTTTGAACTGCTTGAATAGTGGTTTGCAGTGTTCGTCATATTTCACCCCAGCTAGAATACGGAGTGCTTTTTTCTGCATGCGAAAAGCTCTAATTGAATAAGTCGAATTGCCCCATAGTAAAACTCCATATGAAAGGTGTGACTGAAATAGGCTGTGATAAGACATAAGTAATACTTCCATACTCAACACTTTCTTCATCTGACGAAGTAAATAGAGCTGGGTAGCAAGTTTTTTACAAAGCTGATCTAAGTGATTTTCCCATCTCAGACCATCATCAAGAACAATGCCTAGTAATTTGATATGTTGATTAGATATCAGATTATGGTTTGTTGAGATCATAATTTTTTGCGTTTTGTAATAATAATAATAGTACTTTATTGAACCAAACATGATCCAAAGGGTTATTGACCGAGGTCCTTCTACCCTTTGCGTTTTGTTTTTGTTAAGTTTCAGCATGTTTGCGGAAAACCACTCTTCTGCTTTGTCTTCAACTCTGTTGGTAGTTTGCATGAGTTCTACAGCACTAGTGCCAGCCCGCAACATCGTTGTGTCGTCTACATAACATACACAGATGTTAGGCAATAAGTGGGTAAAAATGTCGTTGATGTATATTACAAATAGTATGGGACCGAGAATAGAGCCCTGAGGAACTCCGTGTTTTATATGCCTAACATCAGAGCAAGAATAATTATCTATACAGACGGATTGCTTCCTATTGGTTAAGTAAGACTTGAGAAGGTCCGATGCCGTACCACGAATCCCGTAGATATGATTGCTTGGGCCTAATAGACCCGATGCGTCCACTGCAGGGTTAGAAACGTTTCTATGACGGAAAAACTGCATCTCTTCCACTGCCAGCACACAGCGACAGGCTCGTTACCAACCGTTAAGTTACAGACACAAACTGAAAATTACGTCGGTAACTTATTATTACGTGTTCGGATTCGCTCGGAAATCCGATTGTCGTGTGGTGGGTCGGTAACATATGAATATGCGTCCGGGGGTGTGCCAAAAGTACATGGTGGCTGGAATTCGAGCATCATCATTGGGCTCTCGTAAACCGTAAGAGATACAGGGTCGGTTAAATTATGGCAAAGTTGCGCAATTTGATGCCTCACATTGGATGATATGAATTATTGGGATTCCTTTTTGTGCGCACCAAAATATCATCCGATAAGACCGGAAATGGACCTCAACTTCGGTATTTTGAATGGAATGTACTATTTTTGTCAAATTATCTATTTGGAAAATGAATACATTTTGTAGCTCATTTTATGGATCACTAAAAAAAAATACGGAAAAATCAGTCTAATTACCTCAATTCCTTCAGAATTTGAAATTCAATCATCCGTATTACTACAGTTGTTAGCTATGCAGACGATTCAAATCTCATTTCACCAATTGACAACTTTATTCATTTGGAAAACACAATATCAACTAATATAATTAAGAGAACAAACTCAAAGTCTCCCTCCAAGTAAATTTTAATAAAATCATATGTGCTACATGTTTCGACTCCTAGGAGTCATCATTAGGCTTGCTAGGTAGGAGGAGAAAGGAAACTATAAAATTGACGACATAGTTCGTACGGGTTTTAGGCTCCAAACTATGTCGTCAATGTTATAGTTTCCTTTCTCCTCCTACCTAGCAAGCCTGATGATGACTCCTAGGAGTCGAAATATGTAGGACATATGATTTGATTAAAATTTACTTGGAGCGAGACTTTGAGTTTGTTCTCTTAATTATCTCATCACCTCCAATTTGAGCATGGACTACTACCAGAGATCAACTAATATTTCATGAGTATCCTCATATCTCAACAAAAATAAATCAATTCTAAACACCACAAAAATAGATTGCATTGTTTTCAAAACTAACCACAAAAATATCAACATTCCGGAGTCAATTCATCTGAGAACCAAAGAAAAATTATATTTCTCTACGGATGCCAAAATGTTAGGCGTATATATAGACAAACTGAATTTTGAAATGCATATTGATCTTCTTGCGAAAAAACTTGCATCTAAATATTTTGCATGGAGAGATTGTCCTGGCTATTAGAGCCGATTTATTGTTCCTGTTAACACTGGAAATTTATTGTTGTAAATTTCAAGAAGATATAGATAATTTCCAACTTGATGTCATAAATTCAACATACTGGCTGGACTAAGCATACTTATAGGTCACCTGATGTCTCACCAGACTCGTATGCCTATAAATCTGGAACCTGGAGCCCAAAATGATGATGAAATTGACCAGGATGTAATTTGGAAGCTGGAAATATCAATAAGCCCCTAACAACATTTTCTGGCTTATTCACAGTCTTGCTGACATAAGGTATTCTCTGCATATTATAAAGTATTCACTGATCGTTGAAACATTTATTATCAAATCTGTTATAATCTAAAATCGAGTACACTTTGGAATCTAGTACAATTGGAGTCATTATTAAATATTCCTATATCTGTGAAGGTGTAATGCATTATATCTGGAGAATATTCCATTGATTAGATTTATTCAAAGCCCATGATCATTGTTTCAAGTTTCAATGATAGGAGAACGTTTATTCAACACCCTGTGTAATATATGCATACCTAGTTGCATTTCAGTTGCATTCAATATTATTTGTGACACATATTATGAATGTTTGTGATGCAGATTTAATACTCCTTCGAACATCCTTTTTAGTCAGTAAATGAATCAAAATTTTTCTATCCTTCAGCACAGGCAATATCTTTCTACAGGGATTGATTAAGAAAGAGGTTTGTTGAACTTTATTTTCTGTGGATGGCCTCCAAATAAGATCTCATCTGGTAGAACTATCTTTCTTATGCCAATTATTATATTATCACGTTCGCGGACACTCATATTTCATGGTATGTGTGTGCATGGACACAAGCGGCATAAGCCGCAACAGCTATTTATTCTGACCGGGCAGTGACGGCAGTTGCCGTCAAATGCCTGATGCACTGTGAATACGTTTAGCGCGATATCACGTCAATTTTCTGTATGTAAGTGTGTGAAGTGTCCTTCTAGACACCTCGTGTTGAAAAATGTTTGCGGAATTGCGTTGGTGGGGGGAAAAAAATGGTCAGGAAGTCGAAAGTCGTTTGGCGCGTTTCTGCTATTTAGTTCAGATCTAGATATTGTCAGAGTGTGTGTACTGAACGGTTGGCTGGATGCATACGTAAAATGGACGAAAAACAGGAAGAACAACAGCTACTTACGTGGTTTGATGAAGTTGAGACCGAGGATGAAATATCAGAATTGGATGCTGAAAGCACACACGATCCATTCAGTACTGACGATTCAATAGATGATCCCGAATACACTCAAAGTTATTCTTCATATTCTAGCGGCGATTCGAATGAGGGTGAGTGTTTATTTTTTGAAGACTCAAAGTAATTTTATATATCTTTCTGTCTTTTTTCTAGCCGGTCCGTCTCGAAGAAAACGAAAAAAACGATCCCAAAATTCAGGTGCACAGCCCGAATTGGAACAAGCCGGCAGCGAAAGTTCACTCGATTCTGATCGTCCAATTGAGCAAGAAGAAAATGTATGGGAAGACACCTTAGGTACCCCTTTAGACTTTACGTTCAACCATGCTTCTGTTGGGCTTACACAAAATATTGAATCCAAGACTCCAGGAGAAGTTTTGGAATTGATTTGGGATGGAGATGTAATGGATTATATCCTCAAAAAAAACAAATGCATATGGTGAAACACTCAACGTATCTAATAGACCTAAAACGAGACACGAGCGGTTCAAAATATTCCGAAAAATATCCACCGATGAATTGAAAAAATTTTTTGGTTTGTGTCTTTTGGCTGGCCAATTGAAATTTCGTTCCATTCGAGATTTATTTTCTTTCAATCCACTATATTATCATCCTATATTTCCTGCTACCATGTCAGGGCGAAGATTTGAACAAATTTTGAGGTGCCTCAATTGTACGGATGATAAAAATAAAGACGACCCTCTTCATAAAGTCAGCTGGTTACTGAATAAAATTATACGATCAAGCCAAAACATATTTTCTCCTCCCGAGGCATTATCTTTAGATGAGTCACTCCTACTTTTCCGAGGACGACTGAAATTTCGGGTCTATATAAAAAATAAAAAGAGCAAATATGGAATCAAGTTCTATGAACTGTGCTCAAACGATGGTTTCGTCTTGAATATGGAGATTTATAAGGGTAAATCGAATAGAGAAGATGCCAGGGGAAGTTCAAAGTTGAACTCGTTAGTGCTAAGGCTTCTGGAGCCATTCCTGGATAAAGGTCACCATGTATATATGGATAACTTTTACAACAGTATTGTTTTATCAAAAATGTTATTGCAACGGAAGACGCATAGTACAGGTACATTACGTTCCAACAGAAAAAGTAATCCGAAAGAAATAACCCTGGCTAAACTGAAACCTGGACAGCACGTATGGAAAAGAAATGGCAATGTGTATGTTTCCAAATGGCGTGATAAACGTGATGTTTTGTCTATTACAACAGCCTATCAACCTGAATTGATTGAGACGACTAACAGGTTTGGCAAGAAAAAAACAAAGCCAGTAGAAATAAGTCGTTATAATGAAAACATGTCAGGTATTGACAGGGCTGATCAAATGATTAGTTATTATTCCTGCCCTAGAAAAACTATCAGATGGCACAAAAAAGTCATATTCCACCTACTGGACATAGCCGTGTGGAACTCGCACTATTTACATAATAAGAGCAATCAAGAGAAAAAATCGTTCAAGGAGTTTAGAAATGAGGTAATCAAATCATTACTCGGGATTTCACCTGATCAAAAAGATGGTAGAGAATTTGTCAAAACTATACCGAAAGGAACTAAGTCCATACCATCCAAAAATTCTAGGAAGAATACTGGTCATGTCCTTGAGGCCATACCTATACCAGAAGACTCTAAAAAACATGGAAAATATTATAAGCGGTGTAAGCAGTGTTATATGATGAAAAAAAGAAAAGAAACTGCTTGGCAGTGTCGGGATTGTATAGGCAAGCCACCTCTTTGTGTAGGAAAATGTTTCCAGGATTGGCATGAATAAGTATAGTGTTATCCCTTTTTGATATTTCTACCAAAGCATTTTGTACCTATTGTTCAGTTGTTATAGTTTCAGTTTCTTTATATAAAACATGTTTTTTCCTTTCGAAATACACTGTTTTTTATTTCATTTCTACATGCGGTATATGACGTCACTGTCATTTTGAAAATAAACTATGCTTTTCACGGGTCATGACGTTATTTGACGCAGCTTTTTTTCTCAGTATTTCTAATTCTTTGGAAAAATGTGATTCTGAAGCTACATTTTGCGTTTCTCTACGTGTAAAAGTGTTCATTCTATCACTGTGACAATTTGAGCACACCTGACTTTATCTTGGTGTCCTGATGAAACTAAAGTCAATGACGTGAAATGACGTCAATGTCCGCGAACGTGTTATTGACAAAGTTACAGTCGTATTCAATAAAAAAGCGTACATGTATTAAAAAGAGAGGATTTTGAGATCCTAGTTCTAATTGTGTAAAACTGGCTGAGCCAATGCTTTGTGTTTTTGAGAAGCTATGACAACTTTACAGTCAACATTTGGTAAGCAATCATTCCCGATAGCCCATTTTATGCAGAATAGGATGACGTTAATTTCTCTCTGTAATATACTTGTATGCTATTTTTTTTAATTCGACTGTACATGATATGGTAAGTAAATGAACCACGACCCATTTGCCCCGACTATATGAGCTGACCGTTCGCACAGTATAACCAGAAATTTCTGAATTTCTCACGCTTAAGGGTTATAAGTTTATGAAAAAGACGTTGCATGCTAACCTGATCCGGCGCCAGATGAGGCATCTCCTCCATGTGATGCAACGGCGTTGAGGGCGCCGCGTACCCGGGCGTGTGCGGGTACATCATCCCAGGCGTGGGCGGCTGCATCATGCCCGGCGTGGGCGGTTGCATCATCCCAGGCGTGGGCGGCTGCATCATGCCCGGCGTGGACGGCTGCATGAGGGCAGGCGTCGGAGGCTGTTGCATCATGCCGACGACAGGATGCTGAAGCATGCCTGCGACGGGATGCTGCAGCATGCTTGCGGTGGGAGAATGCAACATGCCCGGTGTAGGAGGTTGTTGCAACATGCCCGGGGTAGGGGATTGTTGGTGCAATAGGCCCGCGGTGGGCGAATGTAACATGCCGCCGGGCGTGTGCGGTTGCATCATGCCCGGAGTCGGAGGTTGTAACATCCCTAGAAAACAGGAATAGGAAATATGATTATATACAGGGTGTTCTTCAAAGACATGCTAATATTTAAGGGGGTTATTCTTTGACTCATTTCAAGATGAAAACTTCCTATGCACGTATGTCTTAAAAATTTTAATTTTGAGATACAGGGTGATAAAGTTTTGAAAAAAAAACAGTTTTTTGATAATAACTGAGATGATATTGTAGACATCTTTACCAAATTTGGTACATGTCTTCTATGCATCAAGGTGCATTTTCTGGTGTACACAAATTTTCATTTTCTCTACCAGTGGCGCCGTTTGGGGGATATTATTGTTTATATTTCACTTAAAAGTGAGCAATGAAGGAAATTTGCCAAATTCCATACAATCCTATGAAAGGCCATTTAATCCTGCACAAAAAAGATTCTCTAGTTGATACTCGATAGAACGCTCTGTTTTCGAGAAAAAAACTGAATAACGAGACCAGACTTCAAATTTTGATGTAAATGCTAAGCCAAGTACTCCATTCAGGACATGAATTACTGAATAACCACAGTATGTAACATTTTGAAATTTTTGCACCATTTCAATCACATAGCAGACATAATTTCTTCATCACGGGAAGCTATAAAGGGTGGACAAAAAAATAATCTATGCATATCTTCAACTTGGATACCCTGTATCTCAAAAGTTAGGACGTTTACAACATACGTTCATATGAAGTTTCATTCTTGAAATGGGTCCAAGAATCGCCCCCTTGAATATTAGCATGTCATTAAGGAACACCTTGTATACTGGGCCATTGAAAACTAAACAGTAGCTCTGTAGGTTGGCAGAACCGGAATATAAAGAAACGTTGGCGCACGTCTGTTAAAGTACATCTCTAGACATTCTTTTCTTTAAATTGAAGATGATAAATTCAACAGATTTTTTATTTTGTAAAGATTAATAGTTGGTTCCAGGTAATGTAAATTGTAGATGCACTTAATTGTTTTATTTTGTAAGTTCATTAATGGTTTCAAATGTGATATACTGGTGATTCCCCAAATTGATATTCAATATTGCAATTTCCAGTGAATCAGACAGACATATAAATTCTTCAAATATCTAAGAGGAATGAAATTTCGAATTTTGTATAAAATGCCAGTAATTGGATTTACCTTTTTCTCAGGTGATCTATATGTTTAGTCCACGATAATTGTTCATCAATATGAAGACCTAAGAATTTTGTAACCCCTGAATATTTTGGCTTTCTGGTGGAAAAATATTGTTGTTTTCGATATATCAGTTTTTCTTTTTGAAATTTACATATACGTAGATATGTCATAGAGAGTCAGTTTATGAATGTGTAGCCAAGATGATATCATTTTCAAGTCAATTTTTATATCATCAACTATATCATTAAATTCTTTAGAGGAATAGATTATTGTAGTATCATCTGCAAATATCTTTAGATCTCCTTTTAGTTTCAAAAATGATATTGAATTGATGTGAATTGAGAATAAAATTGGACCTAAAACGGAACCTTGTGGTACACCACATTTGATCTTCCTTATGGAGCTACAAATATTATTGACTTCAACATACTGCTTTCTATTTTCCAGATAATTTTTTAACCAATCAAATATTTTTCCTCTGATACCTATTGAATATATTTTACTCAGTAAAATATCATGATTTACAGTATCGAAAGCTTTACATAAATCTAAAGACAAGAGACCACATTTATAATTTTGATCAAATTTAAACTGAATATCCGTTTGACGATCACCCTGTATGCAAAGTTCCTTTTTCTGGCACCGAATAACTCACCGTGCGACAGGTGATGCCCTCCCGCCCCCATCACATCTTCTTGCGAGTGCTCCTCCTCCTCCTCCTGCTGGTGGTGGTGGCCTGTCAGCCGCGGCATCAGCGGCGTCTGCGGCTGCGCAAGCGGCGTCTGCGGCGGCAGCGGGGTGTGCGCGGTGGGGTAGGGGGTGTGCATCGAGTGCTCGTCCACTTGCAGCAAGTGCGGCTGAAGGGGCGTGTCCTCTTGGACGTGGAGGGGCGTTCGACTCTGTAAGGTAGAGGAAAAATTATTGTCAAGGGCCGATTTGAAGTTTCGGAAATTTTGCACTTATTTATTTATTTATTTCAGTTATTGCATTACATTCTCTTCTTCATTGATACATTTCATACAAATAATATATAAAGTATAATTAATTTTCTAGTAGGAATGACATGAATGATCAGACAGTAATTCCTGGTACAAGATCATTCATGAAGTATTATCGACTGTTGTATAATTGAAATTACAAATAGTGAACAAAACTTACATATCATTAAGATATCTCAAAATAACAGTCATATTATAGTGAACAAGAAGGGGGAAAAACAGTGAAAAAAAAAGAAGGAAATTCAAAGTCTTTCAGCTTTGATCATTCCTTTGCATATAAATAAACTGGGCGTCAATTGAAACGTTAATAGTGAAATTTGGCATCAAGTTTGACTTCTCGTAATTTCTAAAATATTGAACGAATTTTGAATTGCCGCCCAGATTCTGAATGCCTTTTTCATCGTCTTCGAACCGTTCCTTACAGCTTCTTCTAAATTGATCAGGACCCGTGATACAGGGTGAAACAAAGTTTCGTGCATTTTAAAAGACATTTCTCCGCCCCCCCCCCCATTTTGTCAGAAGACCACGATGCTCATATTTCATTTGGGCATTTCATAAATAGCAACCATACTTCGGGACGTTTTCGAGTTTCTGCCAAAAACTAGTGTGGTTTCCGAAAAAAAAAAAATTTTTTTGCATTTTTTTTAAATGGACTGATTTTAGAGAAGTTCCATAAATAGATGCTTTTATGCACTTCAGGAAATCGTTGGAGCAGATATGTATACCAGGTTACTCAAAAACAATCAATAATTCATTACTTCGCAGTCTATGATAAAAGTTTTCTACCTTAGTGAGCAGTTAACTAACACATCTCATCAACAAATACAAACAACGATACCTTGTTTCTGTAACAGCGTATTGTTGAAACAATGTAGGTATGCATAGAGGTTATATCAATTGCCAATTTTTATGAAAACGTCAGTGTAATTCGGGTCCTAAAAAATTTAAAGATGCCTCGTTCAAATCGGGTCGAAATGGAAAATATCATTAGGTAAGATCACTATAGTGATATAAATTATAATTCAGTACAGATAATTATTATTTCAGGTTACGACGATTAGGATATACCCAAACTCATTTAAGTACCATTTTCAATAAGTCAGTCATGACAATAAAGAGACTGATTCATCGTTTTGAGGATACAGGTAATTAGTCCATTTAAAAAAAATGCTAAAAAATTTTTTTTCTCGGAAACCACAGTAGTTTTTGGCAAAAACTCGAAAATGTCCCGAGGTATGGTTGCTATTTATGAAATGCCTGAATAAAATATGAGCATCGTGAGCTTCCGACAAAATGGGGGGGGCGGAGACATTTTTTCCAAAATGCACGTAACTTTGTTTCACCCTGTATCATGGATCCTGATTAATTTAGAAGAAGCTGTAAGGAACGGTTCGAAAGACGATGAAAAAGGCATTCAGAATCTGGGCGGCAATTCAAAATTCGTTCAATATTTTAGAAATTACGAGAAGTCAAACTTGATGCCAAATTTCACTATTAACGTTTCAATTGACGCCCAGTTTATATTTCTTCACTTCATTTTTGAATTGTATAATATTTGGGCTGTTTTTGATATCATCTGGTGATTTATTGAATTTCGAAATCGCCTCATGTGTAAACTTTTTTTGTCCAAGTTTAGAATTGCAGCTTCAAGATGAACCAAGTTATATTGTCTAGTGTGATGATCATGAATTTCGGAATTCCTGATTATATAAAATTTGATTTAAGCTTTTTGTTGATGATATAATAGGAAATTTTGAGAGTATTGATTAAAAAGTGCTCTTCCAAAGAAAATGTGTTTGTTTCCTTATACAGTTGATTCGTTGGAGTATCATATGGAAGACGATACAATACTTTTTCAATGTCTTTTTATATAGAACAGAAATTTTGTTGAAACTATTTTTGGAACAAGATCCCCAAATATTTATGAGATAGTTAATTCAACTGAGTATATGTGAATGGAGAATAATATTTGATGTATATGTACTAAGTTTAGGACATCTTCTTAAAGCACCAATAATGGGAGATACTTTTCCTATGAGGATGGCAATATGCTTATCGTAGGTAATATCCCGAGACCATAACAAATAGCCGACTATTATTTTCTTCATAACTCTATCGAGAATCTATCTATCTAATGTATTTTTATATAAGATAGACAGGTTAACATCATGGGCGGCGGATTGTCACTAAACGTAAAAGGTTTTTAATTACCATTTTTTCGAATTTCGCTTCAATTTAAGATCATTTGGACTTAATTTGATGCGGACAACCCAGTGACTAATTCTTTGCATTTTAATATAGATTACCCTTTCCACTCAAGACAGGAGCGAGTGCTACACAGTGGTAAAAAAACAAAATACTTACAGGTTCTTCGACGTTCTTCCTTTTTCTACCCCTCCTGGCTGGGGTAGAGGGTTCCAACGTTTGAGCGGACTCTTCGTGGTCTCTCGCCTGGTCCAGAGCTAGGGAATCCGCGTCACCCAACATGGCGAAATCTTCTGTTCCTATTGCACGTAACGTGAGATGCCTCTGATAGTTCTGGAAAAGACAAAAAATGCTCACATTGAAAGGATATGAAGAACATTTTGACATTTTATAGTCGTTGAGATGATAACTATTCATTCCAGTACAAATATACTGACTTGAATAGGGTCCAAATAAGAGATGATTCAATTCAGGGACTCAGTTTCTGGTTGACGGTAAAAAATAAATCAATGACACGTTCATCCTATGACACAAATAGAAAATAAACAAGCTGGAGCTCTATAAAATGGAATGATAAAATATAAGTCCCATTATTTCGTCACCTCTCGAAATTCATGTACAAAACGTCAAACCACCCTGTATATTTTAGGAGTAAATTTACAAAACGTTCATTCAAAATAAATCTATTGTCATTAAGAATAAAAACTTAGTAGAGGAGGTATTAAATTATCAGTAGTAATAGTATAAGTACTTGAACACAGACTTTACCATTTTAACTAAAACAGACAGGACCCTATTCAATTAAAAAAATAAAAGTATTTTTTCCTTGCCTTTACAGGGCGTTGAAGTTGATTTTGTAACATGCATAATTACAAAGAGTGTCAGTTTAACAGCTGAAATATTCCGTAATACTGACACGATTTGTAATTGTGCGGGGAGTTTGAGATGTATTAGTGTCAGTGTCACTTCTGCTATCTGATTCACATCCTTCAACGGTTACAATTATATAACAACTGACTAATATCTCTTGATATATTCGAATATTATACCATACAGGATGGTTCAAACAATGTGTTACTACGAATGATCATAATAACACCTAGTGAGCATGATTTGAATCAAAAAAATAAATCACTAGACAACCAGGGATTATCGTGATTTGACTCTGACAATTATTTTGATTGCTTATGACTAATATTTTATTTTAGTGAAACAGATTCAAAATTATGATTTCATTTGGAGTCACTTAGAACAAGCAGACTAAACATACGGACCCGAAAAAATTAGATGATCGTAGCGCTGACAAGAAAGTAGTACATAAACTTCATTGGAGAAGGTACAGTTCAGCCGGTCAGGCTACAAATATTTCACATCATGTATCATTAGCACTAATATTTTCCCCAGTAACTAAACTAACCAGGATTCCGACTTGTTCTATTGTACACACGATAAGAATTTGAAAACAAAATCTTCTGAAGTTGAGAACTTGCATTTTCCTTCAGGTAAAAATATGTATATGCACATAATATCATTCTGAATATTCAACAGAACTACTTTCCTGGCTATTTGCCACGTCGAACATTGAATTATATCTGTTGAACATGCAAAAGGACAGCATGAAAAATAAGAATCCTCTGAAATTGACAATCGACATCTCTCTAAAATCGGATAAATGATATGATTTATTATGATATACAATAGATATTCACGATACGAGTATCATAGACTCATATTACGATATGAGATGGGAAATTTGTAAAACGAGGCCGAAGGCCGAGTTTGATAACCCATCGATTATCGTAATATGAGTTTACGATACGAATATAGTACAATATTTTACCGACTACCAAAAAGATAATTAATTAATGAAAAATATTCAATATTCCTCGAACTGACGAATTATTAGGAATATGTAACAAGCAAGCGTTGCAAGGGTTGGGCGTATGGTTGTCCTGAATCTATTGTGTTCTCGGTTGTCACTCATTCGGCGTACTGTCAACTTTGACGCGTTAATTTCAATTCGAAAGAAAAATTCATCGGCATAAATTCGGATCAGGAAAGTTTAGATTCCGATATAGAAATTGCGGCGAATGCAACAATCGAAACTTTAGTACCTGCTAAATCCCGAGATAGGTACGAACATATGTATTATTAGTACCTATCATGTCTATAATTATAATCAATTCTTGTTTTATTTCTCCGATTACCATTTATTTCAAATGAGATTCATTTTTGTAGATATTGAATATTAAAATTGTAGATTAATACCTAATAATAGTATGTCTATATTCATGATGTATAGATTCTTTTTTTTTTAGTAAAAATTAAATTTGAAACTAATTTTTTTCACTTTACCACACTAGTGCGGTAAAGTATCTCATACGATACCAAAATCAGTGTCGTAGTGTTTCAATTCATATTTATATTTACCTACTACCAATATGTATGATATAATTTCAAATTTAATTTTTACTCAAAAAAGAAATAAGAACCAATTTATCATGAATATAACAAGTACTAAAGTTGCATTCGCCGCAATTTCTATATCGGAATCTGAACTTTCCTGATCCGAATTCATGCCGGTGAATTATTTTTTCGAATTGAAATTAACGCGTCAAATAAGTTGACAGTTCGCCGAATGAGTGACAACCGAGAACACAATAGATTCACGACAACCATACGCCCAACCCTTGCAACGCTTGCTTGTTACATATTCCTAATGAATCGTCAGTTCAAGGAATATTGAATATTTTTTATTAAATAATTAGCGTTTTGGTAGTAGGTAAAATATTGTAGTATATTCGTATCATAAACACATATTACGATAATCGATGGATTATCAAACTCGGCCTTTGGCCTCGTTTGACTAATTTCCCATCTCATATCGTAATATGAGTCTTTAGGATACTCGTTTCGTAAATATCTATTATATAACTTACCAATATGTTCCGTATTGAAAAAAAAAATTGGAATGTATAGAAGTATATTTGTATGAAAACTTTATAGACTGTTGGCCCGCGACACAGGGTTTATCGATGTTTTAAGTCGGTATACCATTTAAGGGACCCACTCACTTAGTCCAAGTTAACAGGAAGGAGTGCCTCGGAGAGTCGCAACCCAGTCCTTGCCCCGGCCCTGACCTCACCTTTCGGTTGGAAAAAAGTTCAAAATTTTGTTTAAGAAGTTCGGCAATGAAGTGCAATGTTCTTATCTCACGAAAATTGGAGCGCTTGCCGGTTTGCATACGCCTAGGTCACTCCCCAAGGGCGGCATACGAACCGGAAGTGGCAATTTTTCAGTGTTATAGTCGATGATCTAAGAATGTATGCCCTTTGGCGAAACAATGAATTCGGACCCATTAATCAGTTTCCCGACATTTGCATACGATTCCGGAGAGGGGAGCTCGACTTATTCGAACATCAATTGACTGGATATCCTTCAAATAATCGATAATCGAAGAAATGTTCAAATTTTTACCATGGTTACAGGACCACACAGTAACAATGAGATGATGGTTTGCATACAATTTGCACATTCCGTACAGGGTGGTTCACCATAAATATCTCCCATTTTAACTTAGTTGTTTCTGAACCGATTTTAAAATTTCAAAAACCAATTAAAATGATTTTCCTAAGAGATTTTCATTGTTATTAAAAAATTCACAGGCTGATCATAACAAATGAACTATGGGGTAGCTGTGAGGTTGAGTTGGAACAGCAGTTCAGGCGTGCTACTTACGTAGCTCAGTTATGGAGCGGAGCTTATCTCAAAGTACCAACAGATCTCGAGCCCCTCGATTGGGGATGGATTTTGGAGAACGGTGGGTACGATTTCAATTGGTACCTTGGTGAAGCCCTTCCAGCAGAGGTTGGTGACATCATAGTCTCTGAGACTTCAACTGAGAAAGTATCAGGTTTATCTTTCGATCACGTCAAGATTTTTTAATAATGATATCCATTCAAAATAATATTCTTACTAACTCTGAAGAATCATCTTCAGACAGCGAGAGCGAAGATGACTCTGAAGATAATGATAGAGAGGACGACGTATAATTCTTCCTTTGAAATATAATGTTGTTTTCATTTGATATAATTTCATTTTCAAATAGTAGATTAAAGTTCAGGATGCAGACTCCGCACTTTACCCAAAACATTCAACAAATTAAATGTACATTCTTTATATATTTTTTAGACGCCAGTCCCATAAGCCCCAGGAGAGAATTTCAATTCGATTTATTGTGAGTTTCGATCATGAGCAATAATCCACCCCTCTTCTCCCTGTATGATCCCTCTTGATCATCCTGCGAGTATTTTGTCGTCAATTTTTTCTATCATCTTTTCAAAGCCCTGTTTTTCAAATTGAAATCACACAAAAAAATTTCTTGGTACTAAACATCTCACACATGTAATTTTTTTGAGCTGTAAATTCCTGATGAATAAATACAAATATATCTGCAATTTGCGTCTTCGAATACCCCCAACGCTTCCAGGAAGTTAATCTTTGACCCAGTTTCATGTGAAGTGAGATTTTGAGACTTCCAGATTATCTAGTTCGCTTTCGGTGCACCTCTGGCCTGCAGTGCGGGGCGCCGCGCCGGACCGAGGCACGCGCGGGTTTGCCCGATTATTACAACGTATGCTCACATTGAATTCGTATGCAAATAGCATACAGTTATAAAGAATATCCTAGTTTATCGGTCCAGAGATGTGCATAAATCATCGATTATTTTGAAGATGTCTAGTCAATTGATGTTCCAATAAGTCGAGCTCCCCTCTCCGGAATCGTATGCAAATGTCGGGAAATTGATTAATGGGTCCCAATTCATTGTTTCGCCAAAGGGCATACATTCTTAGATCATCGACTATAACACTGAAAAATTGCCACTTCCGGTTCGTCTGCCGCCCTTGGGGAGTGACCTAGGCGTATGCAAACCGGCAAGCGCTCCAATTTTCGTGAGAAAAGATAATTGCCGAGCATCTTTTTCTCAAACAAAATTTTGAACTTTTTACCAACCGAAAGGTGAGGTCAGGGCCGGGGCAAGGACTGGGTTGCGACTCTCCGAGGCACTCCTTCCTGTTAACTTGGACTGAGTGAGTGGGTCCCTTAAATGGCATACCGACTTAGAAAATCGATAAACTCTGTGTCGCGGGCCAACAGTCTATTACACTAGTGACGCAACGAACTATCTCCGCGTCCTACCTTGAACAAAATCCGGGCGGGTATCATACGAGCGGGCAGCGCGAACAGCTTCTCCACGCCGCCCGTCTCCTTCCAGTGCATCAGCCGTTTGGTGGGCGGCGCCAGATCCAGCGTGGTCACGATGTCCGTGGTGTCGCTCAGCTGGTTCTTCATCTCCTCGCCGCTGATGTTCTTCACCTCGTCGACGATCAACTTCCTTTTCTTCCTGGTCTTTGTCAGACCTAGGTAGAATTCGTCTGTTTTTTTATGTTAAATATATCGACAACGTATTCGGCAGACGGTTTTCTTTTTCATTAAAATATTACGTGGAAAGTCCTGGGACACCAATAGTCTGAATCATATAAGGTAGACAAAATCTCTAGATATGACGAAATCAGCCGGTATGAGAAATGTTCATTTCTTATTGCTCTTCAATCATTATGCGAGAAGTTTTTCGTTAATTTACAACATAAAACTTGGTTACGCCACAAAAAAATAGAATATGGATGTATACAGTGCATTATATGGAAACATTTTTTAATAATTTATTTTGAAATTCAACTTGGGCAAACTTAAAAAGAGATGGACTACTCGGTTGGATTCACGTGCTTTTCGCTACATTTCAAAAGTAGAATTTCATCAAATTAATCGCTGAAATAGGCCTATTTGTTCGAATTTCAAAAAAGTTTACAAAGAACAGTTGTTCCTATTCCAATTTTACACATTTGTCGCGAATTTGAACGTTCTAATGCAACTTACGGTTCTTGATACTTGTTGATTTCTTCTAATTGTAACTTCGACAAAAAGCTTTGGTTAAATGCTTTTCAGATGTGCCTGTTTTTTTCGAAACTCTCCATAGGAACCACATAAAAATTCACATATGGGGGTTTGAACCACGAATAACAAAATTATGAGGCGAGTTTTCCTGTTAAAAAACCGAATATGATTGAAAATGGACCCCTTTTTAATTAATAAAAACGCACGGCACTGTCCAAATGGATGTTCGTCTTTGAAAAAATGATCATATTGATGGTTATTCATACTGGTCTAAATTTGGTACGAATCGCACGACTAATAGCTGAGATATAGAGAGGGGCAGTTTGAAATGAGACAAGCTTCTTAAAACTTGGTACAGATCTATTGCAGAAGACGCCGATTCCAGGGGTGCACGCAGATTTTTTCTAAAAAAATCGCTAATACGGTCCTGGATTTTCCGGCCTCTGAATATGATCTAGTAGGCCTTGGTTTATAAAAAAAGTGGATGCCGCTTAGCTCCAGAATACACCTTTCTTCTCTCTACATTTCAGAAAAAAATCGTGGAAATCGCACCATAAATAAAAAAATTATGAGGGTGGCGGCCCGCTTTCAAAAGGGTCACTCTGTATGTAAAATTGGAATAGAAACAACTTTTCTCGGTAAACTTTCTTGAAATTCAAACAAATAAGCCTATTTTCAGCGATTAATTTGTAAAAATGTGACTTGACATGTTGCGAAAGTCACGTGACCCCGACCGAGTAGTCCATTTTTCATATTTTTTAAAGCAAAACTTAATGTCCATGTCGAATTTCGAAATGAAATATTATGAAAAGTTGTTTCCATATAATGCCGACTTTATGAATCACACTGTAGACAAGATAACGACAAATCAAAGTGTGTGAAAAAAACAGGGTTCATTTCGAAAAATTATAATTTATATATATTGCCCCGCGTATGAACAATATCCTGTAGATATCTGCATGATTTTGATTTGTACTATATCCCCAAAAAGATTTGGTCTATCTCTTATTGCAATGTAGCTATTTTTCCACACTACGTGACAATTTCTTATTGGGCACTAGAACTATGCATAATAGTAAGTATCTCTACTAAGGGATATTTTTTCCAGGTAAAATATTGATTGAATTGAATTTTAGATTCTATTTGCAGATGTATTCTTCAACATTTTTGATTTGCAATAGTTGAAATGCATAAGTCAAGGCCCGATATTCTTTATTCTTGTGATTTTTTGTCTCATCCAGTTCATAATAGATAAAAAGAGATAGATTTTGACTTGGTGTATTTCCAGGACTTTTCAGGTCGTGACAAGAAGGTCATTCCGTTAACCAGATATTTCTCGAACAAAAGTAGCATGACTTAAAAGATGTAATTTTGGGTCCCCCATCTTCGATATACAGGCGCCAAAGTATGAAATTTAAAACTTAAAATATCGAAGTGTGGAACCTTTGACCTTAGGCACGTTAATCACACCACACTGTTGTACCAATATAGTTGAATAAGGTTCATAACATTTCTTGACTGAATAGAAATATGTATGAAATAATTTTAAATTTTTTTCCGCTACATTCATAATCAGCATACCTGAATCTTTCTGAAATCTTTTCTCAAAAATACCTTTTACACTTTTTAGTGGGAATATACAGGGTTATTCACGTTATTCGACACCGTTTTGACCGATAATGAATAGTTTCGACACAAAAAATTTAGTTGAAAAATCTCGATTTTGAACACCCTATATATCTGTAATTGTCACTGCTAGATCCCAAGTGTGATGTATCGATGAAATCAGCTATTCAGGGAGAAAATGCTGAAAATGGAAAAATATACAGGGCATTCCTCTTAAAAAATAGCAACTTTCATACATTTCGTGTTTTGGGCACACCCTGTTGAACATGGAGATATTTTTAAAATGTGGCGATAATAGGTCCCTATTCATAAAAAAAAATCAAAAACTCAAATGCTTTAGCCACAATGCTTCGTGTCGAATAACGTGAATAACCCTGTAGAAAATGACACTAGTCTATTTTGGTTAATTGCAAACAGTGTTAGTGTTTTGAAACTTATAACTCAAATTTTTATCAATATACTCGGTACAGTGCTTCCTGTTTAAAATTTGTAAATTTGTCGCCATGTCTATCGAATAACGAAGCCAAGATAAACAATGATACTATAAAAATATAGTTTGTCAATTTTGATTACCAATTTGATTCAAATTATTACTTGGAACGTTGCATAGCAACAAACTTTTTCTGTCTAGACAGTAAAAGTACACATTTTATGCCTGTTGTCATTAAAAGCCATTTTCAATGGCATTTGCACGGAATATTTTTTCAACGGATTGACCTTCTTTTCACGGGCACCCTATGTCTCTTAGCGGCAGCCTTGGCGAAAATATTCGAATGAAGACCACTTATTCCAAATCTGTACACAAAGTGAATATCACGAAATCAACCCATTTTCATGTTTGATCGATGTTTTAATGTTACTCTGAAGGCACTTGAAACTGTGAGGTTATTTGACTAACCCTGTGATGAATAATAATTATAGATATGAGATCAATGAGCAATGGAATAGTGAATTCAGTTGCTTTGCAACTACAGTTTTAAGACCTACAGGGCCTCCACCATGAATTCCCCCTGCAACTTTCATGTTTATATGTTTTGTCAAATTAACAAATTTGTAATATTCAAATTATTTTTCGCGAAATATCCTCAGACCTTACTTTTTACACAATCTGGCAACTATTCGGATTTGGCACTGACCTTCTCGACGAAGAACTGAAGACGAGAACCAAAAAAGTGGACAGTGTGTGTTTTTACAATAGACAACACTTACCACGCCGATTGATAAGGATACCTACCTATCTATACCAAACCTATAATAAACCTCGCGAATTACGTGAGTTTTTTTCTGCGGAGAACCTAGATACGAACATCAAGATTACACCACTTTCGATCTAAGCCAGCCGGCCCAGAAGAACGACGATTGCGATTAACATGAATAACCACACCAAGGTAAGATCGGAGTGCTCGTCATTTCTTAACTCCGCGGTTTTCAATTGAGTACCTATTCAAAATACATTCCACTGTTTCTTCTCAAACTATCATTCTAATTAAACCAATTCAACCGTTTTGGTCCTTCGAGCCGGATCTCGAATTTTTTTATACTTGATATTGCCAGTGATACTTATTAGCTCTCACAAAAATTCAATTGATTGTTAATAAGGCACAATTTCCCATATCACAACAAATCACCTGTAACCAATTTCACATTTGAAAATTTCGAAGACAGTTGGTGGAACTTTTCTCAATTATCCTTGAAGTTTACCAATTGAACAATTGAAAGAAAGAAATAAACTCTAAAAAAATATATTTTTAATGGGACACACCCAGTACGTCCTAGTCTAGATAGACACCGTAAATGTAAGAATGGGCAACGCTTAGTTGGGACGTAACAGAGCGGTGGATAATCCGCAGTGCGCATCTATCCATTATACAGCATGTCAAAGAGATAAGGATGTCTATCACGGGGTAAAATTGATGATGCTTTCCCCGAAACGAAACGTCGTACGGAAAAATCTTTCAACGCTAGTAGCAATAAGAAAGTGTCTTTCTTTAAATAACGTCAGAAAAAAATAAAAACGAACCCAATGATAGACATCCTTATCTTGGACACGGTGTATATACAGTGTGTCCCACTTACCATGCTCACCATGGGTATCTTTTTAACGGTGAGAGATACGAGGTCGGTTAAATTACACCGTGGAAAAATATTTTGATAAAATCTATTCGTTTTTGTTTTATACGCAAAAAACAGATTTTGATCATTTTCGTGGCTCCTCCGTAACAACGGAGCTATCGTCATTTATACAAAAACAAAAAATTATTTGGAAGCCGCCATCTTAAATTTATAAATTTTAACAAAAAAATCATGATCTCCTACCTCGAAAACCCCCACTTACCAATTTTGAAATCCAAATCTTGTCCGCCATCTTGAAACATCCATTTTTTTTAATTTCAATTTGAGGTCGGAGATCATGATTTTTTTATTGAAATTTATAAATTCAAGATGGCGGCTTCCAAATAGTTTTTTGTTTTTGTATAAATGACGATAACTCCGTTGTTATAAACAAGAAACATATCATCTGTAAGAGAAAAAAAAAGTTATTCGTGACTAAGTCATAGTGAGCTATGACCTACATTTGAAAAACTAAATGTTGGTGCTGGTATCTCAAATTTTTGAAGAGTTGGTGTAAATTTCATATTTTTTTTCGAAATCACTTTGAAAAACTGCCATGAGAATGTGGAATTCCTATTTGAATATTTTCATAAATAAAGAAGTTACGGACATGAAAATGATCAGAATCTGTTTTTTGCGTATAAAACAAAAACGAATAGATTTTATCAAAATATTTTTTCACATTATAGTTGGCCTTGACAAACTCCACAATTGGTGTCATTTAACCGACCTCGTATCTCTC